AGTATTTAGACAGGCTTTTAAAAATGTCCAATAATTACGGTTTCTGTGCTTTATATTGAGTCACCGAGCCAAGTTACAGGTCAGATCTGTGGAGAGGCGAGCCCAAACACAGAGTAAGAATCCACATTTTTGTTAGTTTCTTTGTTTTGTTTTCGCAATTAAAACATCTGTAAATGAAAAAAAAAGGAACACGGACACATTTACAGCGATAACACAGGAGAAAAATAGCGAGAAAAGTTCCGTAATGTGTCTTTAAATCTATATATTATGGTTGTGAAGTGTGGACCCACTGACACTCGTAGCTGTGCACTCAGATACCTTAACGCGAGCTAAAAATACACACCGGGAATTTATAATGTGAAAGACAACGCTTCAACTTACAGAAGCCCAAATACTTATACGTGCCAAGCTATGTACTTCAAAATGTACTTCAAAAATACTCTCACTCAAGTACGCAGTAGAGCGGGTAGAGTAGTCACAGTAACAGTATCGTAAAAGTACTAATACTGAAGTAGTGTAGCCCTAAAGTGAAGTAAGTGTTGCAGTAATTGCACTTTTACTTGTGTACTTACTGACTTACTCAAGTTACTTCAAAATAATATTACTCAAGTAGAAGTACAAAGTAGTAAGAGTTACGTATGTGTTTAAAGTTGCTCTTACTTGAGTTGTAGTTTTCCAAATACTTTTTATACAAATTACTCAAACAAGATTAACTTTAAACACATACGTTACTCTTACTACTTTGTACTTCTACTTGAGTAATTTTATTTTGAAGTAACTTGAGTAAGGTTTTTGATTATTCTACCCACGTCCGTCAGTAAGTACACGAGTAATAGTACTAATACTGAAGTCGTGTAGCCATAAAGTGAAGTAAGTGTTGCAGTAATTGTACTTTTACTTGTGTACTTACTGACAGACGTGGGTAGAATAATCAAAAACGTTACTCAAGTTACTTCAAAATAATCTTGTTTGAGTAATTTTTATAAAAAGTATTTGGAAAACTACTACTAAAGTAAGAGAAACTTAAAGAGTAAGTGTCAAGGATGTAAGATCGGATTTATAATTTGAAGTTAAAGGTGCACTGCGTAACTTGTCTCTGTGGAGGGTCCGTCATCTGCTTGTTTCCATAGAGATGTGCCTAGACCAGAGGTGTCCAAACTTATTTCATCAAGGGCCACATTTCTAAACACAGATGAAGCAGAGGGCGGATTGAAGGCTGTAGACTGGTGATCAATACAGTGAATTAAAGAAATATGTGTATGTTTAACACGTTAGAATGAGCCATCAGGCTTTATTCATGCTAAAATCCTTAAAATCACACACTAAATATTAAAATATTATTAAAAGCTTTATCAAGGCAGATTTTCAAAAAACTTGCAGTAAAAAGTTCATTTTTAATTGATAGGCCAATCCACCTGGAAGCCTGAGGGCCAAGAAAAATTTGTCTGAGGGCCACATTTGGCCCACAGGCCGTAGTTTGGACATGCCTGGCCTAGAGTGTTCCACAGTACTAGCCTGATTCATCAGCCGGTTTCACTTGATGGAAACCGTGTGACCTCGCAGCATTAGGATTCGTTCACTCGACGGTAGGCGGGTACTTTTATATTTAACCAATCGCTGCTATTTGGTCATGACAAATGTAATGCACCAAATCCTGTAGGAAGAAGAAGGGCAATAACGTCTTTTCCCTTGATAAAATTCACCAAACATTCTCCTTTTCCAGCTTTAAATCTACTCAATCTACAGCCAAATCGTTGCCAACACTTTTTTTAATGTCTGTCTATGTCTACATCGCAGATTTCTGAACGTTTCGTTTTCAGCCGTTGTGTTGTTCCACAAACTAGGGACTACATGACGGCATGAAGAGAAAAAGTGAGTCAAAGAGAAAACACGGCTCCTCAATAAGAAACATGCTTCCCGTCGTTCCCTTCAAAAGCCGGATCTAAGAGCCGCTTCGATCTCTGACCGACCCATAACTCCTAGCTAGAAGAAACTACCGCTATTAGCCTTTAGCCGTAAAAACTAGGTGCGCACCGCTGGGTAATTAATTATATGCCATAAATGTGGATCATTCCACGTCTACTTCACAGCTCAATTTACAGGTATCAGATGCAGGGACTCCACTAACAGTAATATATGGCCAATGTAGTCACTTTTTACAATAGGCCAATAGAAAACAGCCTGTTTATGTGTGGGAGCTACAGCAGCTAACCGCTAACAAAACCATAAACTAGCTTCAAAGTCGATGTATTTCCAACACTCACCGCTCACACAGGCTCCTCCTCACATCACAAGTCTGCACTAATAAATGTCCTTTTAATCCAGACTCAAACCGATTTGTCCGAAAAAAATAATAATAATCTCAGTGTTGCGCACCGCTGCGGGTGTAAACAAACACACGTGGATTGAAGTGACGTGGGGGTGTGTTTCAGGGACATTTTTGTTACGTGACAACAAATTTACATTTGCAAATAAATACTGATGCGGAGCCACATATTAGGACATCGATCTGTCTATAAATTGGATTAAATGAACATAATGTAGAGAGTCTAAGCTCTTATAACAAGGTATAACATGCCCACGTGAAATATCGGCCCAATATCAGCAAGCATATCGGCCGATAGCCGATGTTTGTCTCCAGGTGCCCATATTGGCCGATAATATCGGCCAGCCGATATATCGGTCGGGCTCTAGTAGTAAAAATACTTGGATAAATTACTCTCGTGTGAAGTTACATGGTACATTTTTATTACGGCAGATTTAGGAGCAGCAAATATAGCGTCTCGAAACGTCCCGTTCAATTTAAAGAATGTAAACGACGGGTTTAGGTGAGTTAAGGACATCGCCGCATCAGGGAATTACATAACTGTTACCTAGCAACCGTGACGTAATTTAGACCCAAACTCCTTTAACGTACACAGAGATTATTATTTGACAAGTAAAATTATAAGAAAACGCATTTATTTTGTTGAAATCATTTCAGAAAAATTTGTTTTGTAAGCCTATATTTTGTTCTTCAACTCTCTACTTTCTGTGTTTTTTCAATATATTTTTCAACTTTTCTTCACAAACTGCTTCTTATTTGGTGTAAAACTATGAATATTATGATCTAAAACAAGTATTATTCGACTAAATTAAGTAGAAAAAAGAAAATCGTCCAAACCTGCCACATGCACTTTCATTTTTTTTTTTTTAAGTTGTAATTGAAAATCTAAAATTAATTTGTGATTTGAGGGAGTGGCTCATGTGCAGATACACAGAGGTCTTCACATAGTTTGGCACAGACGGGGTTCTGGATCAGTTTTCATTCTGTACATCAGAGTCACAGCACAGATCACCAAAATAAAAGTTTCAAGAGAAAAAAATAACAAAATAAGACTCGGAAATGAATCAAATTTTAATAGAGATTCAGTTATTTCTAATCCTTTTGAGGTTTTTTTGAGGTTGCTTTGTGTCACTTTTCTTCATGGAGATGTTTTCGTTCTGTCTGAAATGTTTCACAATGTGGCTTTAAACCCTTCCGTGTTCATGGACACCAAACCGGACTGAGTTACAGATCAGATCTGCGGAGAGGCAATGCCGCTCACAGTCAGAACGCCTGTTTTTCTAGTTAATTTTGAGCTATAAAACTGCCTGTAATCGAATAAATAAATGTAAAGTAGAGCTGTTTAAAGTCACACTGTGGAACATTCCAGCCAGAGCAATGATGTAACCATAGAAACAAGCAGGCGACGGACCCCCATCCGAAAAGTTACACAGTGTACCTTTAATAGGGAGCCAGTAAAAATAAACTTATTTGACTTTCTGCAGGAATAATAACATGTGCATTTGTAGAAGCTTTCTTAAAAATACTTAGTGCCAGGATTCTGTTTCATTAGTTTGGGAAGAGTTTGATTAAAAAGTGTTTTTAAAAACGTGAAAAACACAGAACTAGTTCATTTAAAGCAGTTTGCAGTGGTCCAAAGTTCTTCCTCACTTACCTTTTGCTGATGATGAGTTTTCACAATTTTCAGAAGACCAGAGCGGAGTTTTGTCATCACCTTGATGCAAACAACTAGCGTGGACAACACCTGGATGAAAAAGCGATTACACAGACAACAACTAGCATGCTAACCAGCCTTACTTTCTGGTTTATGGACAGCAAAAATTCTGGCTAGTGTCTCATTTTGACACATAGGCTATGTTCAGACTGCAGGGCTTAATGCTCAATTCAGATTTTTTTTGTGAAACCCGATGTTTTTGCGAGGTCGTTCACATTTCCAATTAAATGCGACTTGTATGTGACTCCAGTGTGAACATTAAATGGCCCAAAAGTGTCCCGCATGTGACACTGGAGACACGACGACGTCAACCACAGCGAGCGTGCTCTGTGTTTACGGAAGTTGTCCAAACATGGACGCAGCATCGAGCACCTGGAGATTTTAAAGTTCCTCTCGTACCGGAGCCAAAACATGAACAACTTACTTGTTTTAAGGAGGAGACTGAGAAGGAGAAGGACGAGGTTTTTGGCCGTGGTGTTTTGTGGGACAGTCCGTTGAAAGGAACGTGTGGATGCAGAGACGTAGCCGAGAGTGGTGGGATAGTGATGTGCTTCACTTCAGTGACACGGAGTTCATTAACAATTTTCATAGGACGAGAAGAACGTTTGTGTACATTTGTGGCTTGTTGATAAAGTGTAGGTGGATGAATGCGCTTTGGCCGTTCAGACTGAAGTCGCATGTCAAAAGATCAGATATGTATCGGTTTTAGGACCACATCTCCAAATGGCCTGGGTCGCATTTGAAAAAATTGGATCTGTGTCGTTCAGACTGTCATTAAAAGATCCGATACAGGTCACACAGAGGACAAAAAATTGGATTTGGGTCACTTCAGGCTGCAGTCTGAACAGAGCTGCTAATACAACATACCTACACTAGGGCATAACTAGTTTTACTGTATTAAATGAATAAATAATGAGTACAGCCCAATTCAAATTTTGTTATTTTAATATTTCAAAATACACATTTTTGAAAAGCTCCTTAAAGGACTGATATTAGTTTATTTTCTGATCTATGTTATAATGTTGTTGCTTCATCACAAACAGACCTGGAGTTGTGTTTTGTTTCATTCACACATGTTTAATTAACACACAACAAACCCTGCAGATTTTTCTCAAATAGAAAACACCCTGTTCCACCTTGTGATGTCACGTGGTAATACAGGAAGTGCTCCACTGTGTTTTTAAACTCTATTTTAAACACTTTCACTAGAATCATTTGGATCATTTCAGCCACTGGAATTGCCGATGTACTGAAGTTAAAACGTAGCTGTTAACATGAAAACTAGCACTTCATGACATCACAAGGTGGAGCGGAGCATTTTGAGCTTCGGAGATGTAGACAGACTCATAATAAAGAGTCACTCAAACATGTGTGAATGAAACAAAACACAACTCCAGGTCTGTTTTTGAGGAGGAAACGACATTATAACACGACTTAAAGCTCACAAGAGTCAGTTTTGCGTAATATAACACAAAGGAAATATACCAGATTAAAATAGTTTTAGTTTAACACGGTGGTTAGTGTTCTGCCTCGAAACGAAAAGGTTTAAGGTTCAGTTCTCAAGCAAATTCGCAATTGAGCAGTGAGTGTATTCCCGATAAAATTCAAACTAAACCGATTCTCCGAACGGGAAGAAGACGTTGGTTTAGTCAAAATGAGGTCCGTAGATGAAAACAGCGAGTCCCGGTTTGTCCTAAAGTTTATGCAGAAGTCCCAGAATGCAAAGCGAGAACGCGGTGACCAATAATACTCCAGCGATTAGACCGATCCGAACCCACGGGAAGTCTGACCAGTCGACAGTCTCCTCCGAGTCCTCCGAGTCCTCCGAGTCCTCCGAGACCTCCGAGTCCTCCGGGTCATCAGGGAGATCTGGAGAAAATAAAACAAATATTAAAACGTGATTATGTTAAAGTTGCACTGTGTAACTTCTCGTTTCCATGGAGATATCACTGTTTTGCCTTGAAATAAACTTGGTAACCACAAAGGAGACAGGTTAACGGTCAGATCTACGGAGAGGCAAGCTTCCAAATGGTACGAATTCATGTTTTTTTGAGCTCTAAAACACCTGCAATTGAACAAAAGCAAGACAGATACGTTTAATGCCCTACTGCGGAACATTCCATGCAAAAAAATAACAAGTAAGTAGCAGACCCTCCACTCCACAGACCCTCAGAAGTGAGATAATACACCTTGAGGTCAAAATAAGTCTGTATCTGGTTATTAAGTGTTTTATTGTCAGAGAATCAGGAAGTGTGTGGTTACCATGCTAGTTGCAGATGCTCTGAATATGTAAGGTAAATGAGGAATAACTTTGGACCACTGCAAACTGTTTTTTCACGTTTTAAGACGGTAAAAATCAAGTATAGAGCCTTTAAGTTTGGACATTTTGTAATAAAAGTCAAACTATTTTTCATTAATATTTTCTCTCACCTTCTTCTGGAACGGCAGCTGTTCCCTCTTCCGCTTCCACTGACAAAAACTCTGAACTTACTAAAATTAAACACCAAAATAAGCAAACATATTTTATAAATTAAAACACGGGGTCAGATCAGCTGATTGCAGAAAAAACAAACAAACTCGTGATTAAAATTTCATGAGTATTGATTAAATTTGATAGTTTTTATACTAAAGGTGCACTGTGTAACTTTTCTCACCACCTGCTCGTCTCCATGGAGATGTCACAGCTTTGCCAGGAATGTTTCACGGTATGAGATCAAACGTATTTCGCATTTATTCAATTCCAGGTGTTTGTGTAGCTCGAAAATATCTTGAAATTTTACGTTCCCGCAAGTTCGCCTCTACACAAAATCTGACCTGTAACTTGGCCTGTTTAATGCCCTACTGTGGAACATTCCAGACAAAGTAGTGCACCTTTAGTATTTAGATTAGATTAGTACTGTGCAACAAGTTATTTTACTTTAATTAATATTTATCTCACCTTGGTCAGGAAATGTAGTAACTGTTTCGTCGTAGGCTTCCATCGGCAAAGACTCTGTACTTACTGAAATCAAAAAAGTATTTATACGTTCATGAGTTTATTTATTATCCAGTTGGGATAGAGCTGATACTTTGCAGTGACATCGCGCTGGGGGTGTTCTACATGTATGTGTATGTATGGCAGACGGTTTAAAAGCTGCCATGATGCACACGTGAGCAAACGCAGCCAAAAAAGTTTCAAGATTGTTTGAAAAAAAAAGACTTAAAGAACACATTTTCAGGAGTCTGTGATCAGTACGAGTGTTCATGTGACTGTAATTTTATGTGTGAAAAGTGTGACCAGATGTCCCTTTTGACCCGGTATGAGATAGTATTTTGACCCCCATAGTATATTGACAACATACCACTATAGTAAAGTGACCCCCCTATGGGATTTTGACTCCCCTTTTTCTTTAGTAGTTACTTATCTGATCATTATTTCTCATGTAATTTACTTTTATTATATATTGCTACATATTCAGTTTCTTTTAAGGTATTTTAAGGAATGTTTTGATGGATAACAACTTGGTATTTTGTGTAAATGTAACGTATGTAGGTGAGCCACTTGAAAGTATCTGACTGTAATAAACATATTGGGGGGGTCAGCTTTCTATAGCCGTAGGATTTTGACCTCCTTTAAATAGAATAGATCAGGGAAGTCCAAACTTTTTTCATCAAGAGCCACATATCTAAACACAGACAAAGCTGAGGGCCGTAGACTAGTGCTCAATACAGTGAATAATTGAAATACGTACATGTTTAACACGTTAGAATGATCCATCAGTCCTTTATTCAGGCTAAGATCCTTAAAATCACACATTAAATATTAAATATTAGCTTTATCAAGGTAGATTTTCAAAAAAAATTGCAGTAAAAAAATTATTTTTAATTGATGGGCCAATTCACCTGGAAACCTTAGGGCCAAAAAAAATTTGTCTGAGGGCCGCATTTGGTCCACGGGCCGTAGTTTGGACATGCCTGTAATAGATCATTGTCAATATTCAACTAACATTACTTCTTACTTTACATCATAATAACTATAATAAACATATTGGGGGGTTAAATATGTCAATATGTTTTAATTTGCACATATAGTATTAATATTCAAGTTGTTTATTAATAAAATATAGATTTTCATAGGGGTGTCATATATGGGGGGTCACATCTATATGGTATGGTGACCCCGGGGTCACCTCACCACGGGCTCAAAATCCTGTACCACACCGGGACTGTCCCAGTTTTCAGCCCTGTGTCCTCTGTCCCAGCACATTTATCCAAAACCATTGATTTTGTCGCAGTTTTATGCAAGAAACATCCCAGGTGTCTCTATTTTTGACCAATTTTGATCTGATCCCTGCCAACAGTAAAGAGACATAAATTGTGACTTGTTTAGGTAAAATACAGAAAAGCTGCTTAAAAACGACCAAAACCAAAGAAAATGTGACTATACTGACTCACATGTTCGTCATGAATGGGCCGAGTGCAGAACAGTTTTCTTTTACCAACCACCAAAAATTGTTCTCAGTTTTTTATTCTGAAAATCTGGTCACCTCATGTGTAGGAGACTTGCTCACCTTTTGTAGCTCCAACTAAACCAACTCTTGTGTTAAATTAAGCCTCAGACAGAGCAGTGCTTACAGTTAGCGTCACACCCCCAGGGAACGTCGCCAAAGTACCAATGTGTTGCGTTACCTTCCGTGGGCAGAGTGACTGTGTCTAATAGCACTGGGATTTCATTTGTGGTAGTTTCCTCCGAGCTCTCGAACGTCGTGGTCCAGTACAGAGCGCTGCCGCCTTCTTCTGTGGAATTTTCTGAGTTGTCTGGCGAGAATAAAGAAGAAGAGAATAAATAAAATGTGTTTAAAAAAAAGTGATTCTGATCATAAAAACTTGTGGGTTTTTACCGAATTCTTCAATATCAAACGCCTCCTTTAAAATGACGGTAATAGTTCCAGGTATGCCGGGCCTCGGTGCTTCTGTCGCCCTGTGAAGTAAAACAAAATAAAATAAAAAAAAGGTAAAATAAAATAATAAGTAAGTCAAAATGATAAATTCAGAGCTTAAAAGAAGCACCGTGTCACTTTTCCTGGGCAGGGCGTTTAACAGTTCATGGCATTAAACGTATCTATCTCCGTACAGACAGGCAGGCCGAGGTACAGATCAGCTCGGTGGAGAGGCGAGCCCGAGGCGTTTCTGAACGATCAAAACTCCTCCAGTTAAACCAAGACTGAATAGAGTCTTAATGCCGTACTGTGGGACATACCAAGCCCAGTAACAAGCAAAGAAGGTGGCCAGAAAAGTTACACGATGCACCTTTAAGTGTCAACAAATAATCCTCAACGAAACAAACAAAAACAAATACTTTATATTTATTACACTTTACTGATTAATAAAGCATGAATGAAAAATGATGGACAAATAGTTAAAGTTAAATAATTAAAAGGAGCTGTGTCTGACTTTTACTGTCTTAAAAATGTGAAAAACAGAATTAGTTTGCAGTGGTCCAAAAGTTTTTTTTACCTTATGGATTCAGAACATCCTAATTATTCACCATGATGAGTTTATTAAGAGCTTTTCGCAACTTTCAGACACCAAACTGTCACGGCAAAGCTAAGAACTAGCATGCTAACGGTGCACTTGGACTGGTATAATAAGTCTAAGCAGCTCTTTAAAGGGTCTGTGTTAGAGTTTTTATTTGTATTTGAGCTTTTTTTTTCAGCTCTTGAGGTCAAAATAAGTTTGCTCTGTTCTTTTTGCATCTAATTATGTAGAGTTTTCCATCCATCCGTTTTCTTCCGCTTAACCGGGGCCGGGTCGCGGGGGCAGCAGCCTAAACAGTGACTCCCAGACTTCCTTCACCCAAGACACTTCCTCCAGCTCCTCCCCAAGGCGTTCCCAGCCCAGTCGAGAGACATTGGCTACGTCCACACGACAACGCTCCTGGATTTTTCTTTCTTCTTTGCGGGTTGAACACACGTTCCGGATCAGTGTTTTTTGAGCGCTTAGTTTATGCTAATTATCCATGCGGTTGCACAGAGCTGCGTGGATAGGGAAGACTTGCGGATACAGAAACGACGTGTCTGGTTGCAGATCGTTTCTGATACAGTGACACGCGGATTCGTTTCAGTATAAACGTAGTCTTTGTTATTGATCCGTGTGCATAATCTGCGGTGCGTGTTGTTAGTATTGGCGTGTGTCTCGGTTGCTGGGTGATGGGAGCGGCTCCGTAGGCGACACCTGTCCCATTTTGGCAACGCTCTTGCTGTCATGGTTCATGTTTGTAGTGGTTGTATTTGCTCATTTTGGTGTTTCATTTTGACATTTGTCGTGTCTGCTTGTAGTTTTGAGTTTTAATTCCTGTCTTGATTGTTTGCCCCGCCCTAAAGTGTCTCACCTGTGTCTGTGTGCGTTTATACCCTGTGTTCTCCTCTGTCCTTTGTTGGTCCATTGTCTCTGTCAGAGTTTCATCTTATCTCGTGTCATGGCAGTTTAGTTTTGAGTTTTGGATTTTTCGAATTTATGGATTTGTTATTAAATACTTTAAAGCAGTCCTGCATTTTGGGTCCTCCCTCTGTTTTTACGTGACACTTGTGGTCTGTGGAGGCCAGTTCGAGGGCTGCAGACTTCGCTGCATCGGAGGACCCTGGAGATGACGGGATTGTGACATCATCATTTTCCAAAAGCTGCAGTTTGCTTGTCCACATGACAACGCGACGCCGACGTTCTCAGATTTCTCCACTCTGGAACCCGTTCTCAAAAAACTCTGTTTGCGCCCACCCGAAATGCCGGCTTCGAGTGGACGAAAGGCCAAAACGAATACACACTTCACCGTTTTGGCTAAAAAACTTTGTTGTGTGGACAGCCCCATAGTCCTGGGTCTTCCTCAGGGCCTCCTCCCGGTGGGACGTGCCTGGAACACCTACTGAGGGAAGCATCCAGGAGGCATCCGGAGCAGACGCCCGAGCCTCCTCAGCTGCTCCTCTCGACGTGGAGGAGCAGCGGCTCTACTCCGAGCTCCTCCCGTGTGACTGAGCTCCTCACCCTGTCTCTAGGGGAGCGCCCAGACACCCTGCGGAGGAAACTCATTTCGACCGCTTGTGTCCGCAATCTCGTCCTTTTCGGTCATTATATAGAGTTTTATATTCCCACGATCGGGAAGTGCACTGTTAGCATACTAGTTCTTGTTAGCATTACTCTGCCTTTCAAAGTTGTGAAAAGCTCTTATAAGCTCATCACCGTGACTAATTAAGATGCTCTGAATGCAAAATGTAAGTGAGGAATAACTTTAAAACACTGCAAACTGTTTAAAATGAAGTTCTGATAGTTCTGTTTTTTTCCCACATTTTTAAGACGTTTTGAAGGTACAGCTCTTTTAAAACACATCTCTAAAGCGGATCTTACTTGGTTCGGTACCAGCAGTTGTACTCTGAATCCCCAAATATCATTTCTTGTGTTAAGATGAGATGAAACTTGTCAATGTTTTGTAGCTGTAAAAAACTTTCATTGTCATACAAGCTGAGATAGTTATCCATAAATATGCTGACCTACAAAAGAAGAATGACATGATGAGTAAGAATAATGCACAAACAGTTTAAAGGGCTCATATTACACTATTTTCTGATTTTTGTTATGATTCATTCACACATGTTGAACACACAAACCCTGCATATTTCACTCAAACTGAAAATAATTAGACATGCTTGGTTTAAAAACATCAATTTCCAGTTTGGACTCATTCAAATTTTAAACATTCATGAGCCTTGATGTGATCTACTTTTTTTTCAGCAGGGGTGTCAGAGAGCTGTTATTAACTTTTTTTTTTGTCTGTGTGTGTGTGTCCACGTTAATTCCGACATTTATGGACCGATTGTCATCAAATTTGGTACGTGGGTGAAGCCCCCCGTGCCCGATGCCGCAACATTTTTTTTTGGTGACGATCCGAGGTCATTTGAGGTCACACGGGTCAATTGAAAGGTCACGCCATTATAAAGGATCGGCACTTTTGGCAATTTCTGAACCATCTGTGGCTAAAATATTCACCCAATCATCACACAGGTTGTCACACACATAACCGGAGCAACACTGGATGTTACAGATTGAAACCGGTCAAGGTCACTTGAAGGTAACCAAGGTCAAATATGTGTTTTTGGTCATAACTCCACGAAGGATCGAGCTCGAGCAATGAGAGTGGACTCAAAATCTCATAAAAAATATTATCTATTTATAATTCTATGCATCTGTGTAATAAAATATTCAGTTTTCGAGATAATCACTAATTATAACAGTTCCTTTCTCTTTCAGTGTAGCCGTTAAAATTCTAATTGGAATTAAAATAATTTCCATTTCTTCTTCTTCTGGTGACACACAACACACTGATCTACAGTCACACAACTAGGGCTGGGTATCATTAAGAAGTTGCCGATACGATACATATCTCGATACACAGGCCATGATACGATACATACCTCGATAAAGTGATCTTAGGATTTGATACGATATATTTCAAATCAATTCGACATGGTTCAATAAAAAATAATGTCTAAATCATCGCTGTCACACAAGTCTTTGTTAAACCACTTCATAAACCACTGTGCAAAGTTCACATGAAACAAACACATTTTACTCCTCAAAACAGTGAAAATGTCCAATGTGTTGCACAAAAAAGAGTTTCCTTCATCTAGCAAAACTGAAGCGCTGTAACAAAATATACAGAAAAATACTCTTGGCGATATATCGATACAGCAGCCCCCGATACTGATACTGTATCATCACATTGAACGATACGATATATGGATGTTTTGATATTTTCTGCACACCTCTACACAGAACTAACATATACGGACACAGACGTTCTCATGTGCGACCAATATCACACAAATGTTCATGGGCCTGTACAGATACACACATTACATTGTGGATATAATGATCATGTAATATGGGCTGGGCTCCTCATAAACTGCTTCTGTGGTGATGAACTGACCCCACCGACGCCTCATGAGGGACCAGGTTGCTATGTCTGATTGTGTTTGTTGATTTTCTTGAGCAGTAAAAAGACAGATATATCAACAGCAGGAGGTACAACGAAAAGAGGACTGGCCCAAGAACAGAGCCCTGGGGAACTCCTGAAGGTGGATCAGAGCATTTTGAGCTTTGGAGATGTAGACAGACTAATAATAAAGTGTTACTCAAACATGTGTGAATGAAACAAAACACAACTCCAGGTCTGTTTTTAAAGGAGGTAACAACATTATAACAGGACTTAAAGCTCACAAGAGTCAATTTAGCGTAATATAGGAGCCTTAATCTAAGACAAAATCAACTCATAAGGAACTTTTTCAACAGTACAATTAAAAAAATCACAGGTCTAGCCCTATTTTCTTATTTTGTACCATATTCTTTTCCCGTCGCAATAGGACAATGCCATCTTTCTCCCACCAAACATTGAGGTCTTCGGGGCGCTGGTTTCTGGGCAGGTCCAGGTAACAGGGCAGGGTCACTGTTTCATTGTGGGAATACACCTCCAACACCGGGTCCACCTTTGGATCTGACGACCAGGAAGAAAAACAAAACAAAACAAAAACACATATTAGAAAGATCATATAGGAAATAATTAGATTTAAATCTGGAGTTCCTGTTTTGCTAAAAAAAAAAAAGTAAATATTCATAGATATCACCGTGTTTAATACTATACTGTTGAACTTTTAGGCAAATCACATCTCCATGGAAACAAGCAGGTGTCAGAAAGGTTACATACTGCACTGTGGCAAAAAAGATTTGACAAGATTTGTGATATTATGTTTTAAAAGTACAGATCGTAACAAGTCCTGGAGCTTTAAAATTTGAGACCAAAAAAAAAAAAAAACTTTGTCCAATTGGCAAATTAAATTTCTCCTTTACTTTTCTACTATTCTACCTGGACGACTGAGGGATTCTACACACGTTTGAGAGAAAACTGAAAAACGAATACACACATTTCAAAAGTGGAAACATGCTTAATGCTCAATTCAGATTTTTTTGTGAAATCCGATGTTTTTGCGAGGTCGATCACATTTCCAATTAAATGCGACTTGTATGTGATCTCCAATGTGAACAGTAAATGGCCCGAAAGTGTCCCACATGTGCACTGGAGACACGATTAACAATTTTCGCCTACTTCAGCACAGAAGAGTGACGTTTGTGGCTTGTTGATAAAGCGTAGGTCGGATGAATGCGCTTTGGCCGTTCACACTGAAGTCGCATGTCAAAAGATCAGATATGGTTCGGTTTTAGGAGCACATATCGAAGTGTCCTGGGTCGCATTTGAAAAAATCGGATCTGTGTCGTTCAGACTGTCATTAAAAGATCAGATACAGGAACACAGGGGCCAAAAAATCGGATTTGGGTCACTTCAGGCTGCAGTCTGAACGCAGCCTTTGTACTGTGTATTTTATTCTACTGCGATTATCATTGTCTGTTCTGTGTTTGTGTGCAGCACTTTGGCCAACTGTAAAGTTTTAAAAGTGCTTTATAAATAAAGTTGGTATGGTATGGTTCTCTTCATGTGCAGTGTATAGTGTGCAGTCCTGCTCGTGAGTGTTCTTACATTCCACATTGAGCCACACTGTAGACAGGGTCCTCCTGCCTCTCCAGATGCACTCGTACATGTCTTTGTCACTGAGACGCACCGAGTCCAAGACCAGAGACCAGTCCACTCCCGACGGATCTGACACACTCGCACGGCCCTGGACACAATCAAACACCATCTATTAATAAACAACACACTGAAATGCTCATCAGCGTTACCTGGGGGTGTGACGCTAACTAGAGGCACGTCTCTGTCTGTTGTAACTTGACTCAGTTACACTTACTTGTCTGAATATGAATACGATAATATTATTCATACAGTTGTGGACAAAACTACTGCACATCACACCAGGTTTGTGAAGTTGTGTACAGTTTTGTTTCATGTTTTTGTATATTTATGGAGAATTATCTTGTGGGAGACATAGGCTTGTGGGCGGAGCCTCGTACAGAATCTTACAATTAGTGATAAGGAGGGTTTGAATAGGGTCCAGGAGAGATCTCTAGATTGCTCAAACATGCATGGATGACTCTAAAACCTCTTCAGATGTGTATGTGATGAGGAAACAATCCAGGTCTAAACCAGGTACAATCCAGGTCTAAACCAGGACTAAACCAGGTCTAAACCAGGTCTAAACCAGGACTAAACCAGCACTAAACCAGGTCTAAACCAGGTACAATCCAGGTTTAAACCAGGACTAAACCAGGTCTAAACCAGGACTAAACCAGCACTAAACCAGGTCTAAACCAGGACTAAACCAGCACTAAACCAGGTCTAAACCAGGACTAAACCAGGTCTAAACCAGGTAAACCAGGTCTAACCAGACTAAACCAGCACTAAACCAGGTCTAAACAGGTACAATCCAGGTTTAAACCAGGACTAAACCAGGACTAAACCAGGTCTAAACCAGGACTAAACCAGCACTAAACCAGGTCTAAACCAGGACTAAACCAGCACTAAACCAGGTCTAAACCAGGACTAAACCAGGTCTAAACCAGGTACAATCCAGGTCTAAACCAGGACTAAACCAGGTCTAAACCAGCACTAAACCAGGACTAAACCAGGTCTAAACCAGGACTAAACCAGGTCTAAAACCAGGTCTAAACCAGGTACAATCCAAGCCTAAACCAGGCTTGTGGGCGGAGCCTCGTACAGAATCTTACAGTTAATGGTAAGGAGGGTTTGAATAGGGTCTAGGAGAGATCTCTAGATTACTCAAACATGCACGGATGACTCTAAAACCTCTTCAGTCGTGTTTTCGATGAGGGAACAACATTATAACATGGCAGAAAGTAAAAAAAGAAAGTGGATTTTGTAAGTTAGAGCGATCCTGTATTAGTCTGACCTCGTATCTTTCCTGTACGATCACGTCTCCTCCGATTATCGTCAACACGTCGCTGCCCATGGCCTCCCAGAACACCTCCGGGTCCTTCTCACCCACTAACGCCGAACCGTTGCACGGCAGAACGACCGTCTGTCCATAAGGAACCGTCATGTGGATGGACTGGGGCACGTCTGGAGCTGAGAGAGAGAAAGGAGAAAGTGAGGACTAAACCAGGACTAAACCAGGACTAAACCAGGCTAAACCAGGACTAAACCAGGACTAAACCAGGACTAAACCAGGGCTAAACTAGGATTAAATCAGATCTAAACCAGGAGTATAACAGGGCTAAACTGGGACTAAACTAGGAATAAACCAGAACTAAACCAGGACTAAACCAGATCTAAACCAGGACTAAACCAGGACTAAACCAGGTCTAAACCAGGACTAATCCAGGTCTAAACCAAGTACAATCCAGGACTAAACCAGGACTAAACCAGGTCTAAACCAGGTACAATCCAGGACTAAACCAGGTCTAAACCAGGTCTAAACTAGGACTAAACCAGGACTAAACCATGACTAAACCAGGACTAAACCAGGTCTAAACCAGGTACAATCCAGGACTAAACCAGGTCTAAACCAGGTCTAAACTAGGACTAAACCATGACTAAACCAGGTCTAAACAAGGACTAAACCAGGTCTAAACAAGGACTAAACCAGGTCTAAACCAGGACTAAACCAGGACTAATCCAGGTACAATCCAGGTCTAAACCAGAACTAAACCAGGTCTAAACCACGACTAAACCAGGACTAATCCAGGTACAATCCAGGTCTAAACCAGGGCTAAACCAGGTCTAAACCAGGTCTAAACCAGGTCTAAACCAGGACTAAACCAGGTCTAAACAAGGACTAAACCAGGTCTAAACCAGGACTAAACCAGGACTAATCCAGGTACAATCCAGGTCTAAACCAGAACTAAACCAGGTCTAAACAAGGACTAAACCAGGTCTAAACCAGGACTAAACCAGGTCTAAACCAGGACTAATCCAGGTACAATCCAGGTCTAAACCAGGGCTAAACCAGGTCTAAACCAGGACTAAACCAGGTCTAAACCAGGTCTAAAAGAGGTCTAAACCATGTCTAAACCAGGTCTAAAAGAGGTCTAAACCATGTCTAAACCAGGTCTAAACCAGGTCTAAACCAGGTCTAAAAGAGGTCTAAACTAACTCAAAATCTTTTCATCTACATTTTGAACAAAAATTACGCACAAACTCACCAGAGTAAACCGAGCCACAACAGAAGAGCAGCGCTAACATCCAGATCTGAGTCATTTTCTGCAAAAAAAAAAAAAGAAAAAAGAAAGAAAGACAAAAGCAAAAACTCCCATGTACAACAATAAGGCACTTTAAAGCTACACTGCGTAACTTTTTGCTTCGTACGTTCCACAGCGTGACATTAAACAGCTCCGCCTCACGTGTATAGCTCTAAAAAAAAAAAAAAAAAAAAAAACACGTAGAAAAACACACCTGTCTGACCCGTCACGTGCCACGCCGCGAAACATTCCAGCGCGCGCCAGAAAAGTTACACAATGCGGCTTTAACGTGCGTTCGGCCGGCTCGCTCCTTTCTCAGATTGCAGCCTGTACATACATGCAACAAATCCAGATACACGTTCACGGTAAAAATAGACGGTGTACAGCGGAATTTGACAAGCGACACCTTAACGACACAGCTATTAACATGTTTAATATTTTGACTATTTAAAAGCTAAATTAAAGCAGCATTCCGTAACATTTCTGGTAGCGGGTCCGCCACCTGCTCGCTCGTCCCCGTGGAAGTGTTGTTATTGCTTCGTCTAGAAATTTCCACAACGTAGATTAAAAAAACGAGCATTTGCAGAAGGAATTGTTGTATTTTTGAGCAACAGAAACACCTGTAATGAATAAAAGCACAGCGGAAATGTTTAAAGTCACACCACGGAACATTCCAGGGAAACATCACCATGCACACAAGCGACTAGAGGACGTTTACATGCACTTTTCACGCAGTTTTAAGCGTAATTTGCACGCGTTTGTTTTATTTATTGTCTGAAATGAATTAAAGTTGATGGGTTTTGCAAAATAAAAGTGTGCGCAAATAAAGTTAAGTGAAACGGTATGAAAAATGAATAAAAATGCAATTCTTACCATGTTAACCAGATTTATTTAGTCCAAAAAGAACAGGTTAGAAGTCCCAGTGGTGGTATTACCAGGAGCAGACGCCTAGTGCAGCCTCTTCTCCCATTACACTCCAAACTCGCGTTTTTATTGTGAAAGGGTCATGCGTGTACTTCCTGTGGGAACAACTCGACATATTAAACTCACACTAGCAGTCAAAGGTTTTTCTTTTTTTCTCTATTTTTGCTACTTTTTACGTTTGATATACATTCAGAAAAAGACAGCAGATGTATGAAGTATGAAATATGGAATTTTTTGTAAAGAAAAAAGCTAAATAAAACTAATTTTTGGTTAGATATTTATTCAAAATTCTTTGTGCTTGTGCAAAAAAAAAAAAAAAAAAAAAAAGACTAAAACAGGGCTAAACCAAGACTAAACTAGGAATAAACTGGGACTAAACCAGGGCCTTAACTGAATCTAAACCAAGACTAAACCAGGTCTGAACCAGGACTAAACCAGGTCTAAACCAGAACTAAAACCAGGTCTGAACCAGGACTAAACCAGAACTAAACCAGGACTAAACCAGAACTAAACCAGGTCTGAACCAGGACTAAACCAGGTCTAAACCAGGACTAAACCAGGTCTGAACCAGGACTAAACAAGGTCTAAACCAGAACTAAAACCAGGTCTGAACCAGGACTAAACCAGGTCTGAACCAGGACTAAACCAGGTCTGAACCAGGACTAAACCAGGACTAAACCAGGTCTGAACCAGGACTAAACAGGACTAAACCAGAACTAAAACCAGGTCTGAACCAGGACCAAACCAGGACTAAACCAGGTCTAAACCAGAACGGTGGCTGAGTGGCTAGCACTCATACCTCACAGCAAGAAGGTTCTAAGTTCGATCCCTGGGTCGCCTGGGCCTTTCTGTGTGGAGTTTGCATGTTTCTCCTCGTGTCTGGATGGTTTCCTCTGGTTTTCCCCATTAACCCAAAACATGCTCCAGGTCTCCAGAACAGTTGATAGTCAAGGTCAGTTAAATACAATCAATCAATGAACCTGCCCAGGGACGACAGGTGGAAATTAACACTGATGCTACAACCTGATGTACAAACATCTCTCCTGTTAAGTTTAATGCAAAAATTGTGCACTGTCTCAAATAAATAAATAAAATCAGTTCTGGTTTAGCCCAAAATGTGAAAACAGGAAACTACCACCCTGTAATCCATTTATTTCAACGTAGTAACTGTAACTGTTACCACTCACTGAAACAGTAACTGTAACTGAATACAGTTACTCATAATTTGTACTCTGATTACACAACGCTGGTACATGTAATCTGTTACTCTCCAACACTGATTAGGAATTACGTTCAAATCTCATCTTGTCTCATCGTCTTGGACCCGATCTCGTATCTCGTCTCGTCGAAATCGCGCCTCGTCCCTAAACGTTGAACATCCCATAAATTCTTCCCAAAGCTGTTCGTTTACAGAGTGAGAACAGGACACCCTGAGCATACTTTGGTGTCAGTCAAAGCGAAACGAGAAACCCAGAGACACGTGTCCGAAATGTCGCTTTTAACATCCCAGGAATTCACACAAGCTGCAGTTTAAGAGAGTGATGACAATTTACACCAAAAATATCAGAATCCTGAAGTTTTAATTTGAAGTAAAAGCAAAACTGCCACAGCACAAAGGAAAAAAAGACAAAGAAATATATTGTTAAAAGTCTGAGATTACGCAAAATTGTGAGATTTAAGTCGTGTTATATTGTTGTTACCTCCTCAAAAACAGACCTGGACTTGTGTTTTGTTTCATTCACACGTTTGAGTGACACTTTATTATGTCTGTCTACATCGCCAAAGGATCTAAACTTGGACTAAACTTGGACTAAACTGGGACTAAACTGGGTCTAAACCGGGAATAAACTGGGTCTAAACCGGGACTAAACTGGGTCTAAACCGGGACTAAACTGGATGTAAACCGGAACTAAACTGGTTCTAAACTGGGACTAAACCAGGACTAAAACAAGACTAAACTGTGACTAAACCAGGACTAAACTGGAACTAAACCTGGACTAAGCCAGATTTAAACCAGGAGTTTACTAGGACTAAACCAGGACTAACTCAGGACTAAACCAGGGGTAAACCAGCACCTCTAACTATAAATAGGACTCAGGAGGTCAACTTGCAGACAGACAACTCCCCAAAGAGAAGCACTAAACTAAAAGTCTGTCTACATCTCCAAAGCTCAAAATGCTCTGTTCCACCTTGTGATGTCATAGTTTTCACGTAAATCTGCTCCTTTTTTCCCTTTTGTTCAGTAGAGATTTGGATCATTTCATTTCCCTGGACTTGCCAATGATTTGAGTTTAAAAACACAGTGGAGCACTTCCTGTATCACCACATGACATCACAAGTTGGAACAGAGTGTTTTCAGATTGAGAGAAGTGTGGGTTAGAATATTAAACATGTGTGAATGAAACAAAACACAACTCCAAGTTTGTTTTTTATCATTCTAACATAGATCAGAAAATAGCGTAATACGGACCCTTCAAAGATTTAAAAATTTAGTAAAAAGTGACATTTAAAATTCATTAAAACATAAGAGAAATATAACCTAGGTAAGTAATTTGAAAGAGACTTAACAAAAACAAAAATAAGTGGATTTTTTTTTTTTTTTGCTTTGAGAAGTTATTTTTCTCATCAAAATAAAAGACAACATTTAAAAATCAAAGTTAAGATTACATGCAATAGAGAAAAGAAAATTAAACCAACACAAAATTCATCAAAAAAGGCAATTAAAATAAACTTAAAGATGCACTGTGTAACTTTTCCGGTCGTCAAGCTCGTCTCCGTGGTCCACAGTTCGGCGTTAAACTTAAACAAATCTCCAAGGAGCCAAGACACACGCAGTAAAAATTAATTATTTCTACGTATTTTTTTTGGCAATTTAAAACTATAATGGAATAAATGCAAGACAAATGTAATGCCATACTGCGGAACTTTTCATAACACAGCATTACACTTTCAGATCTCCACGGAGACTAAACGCACACGGTAAGAGTGACGTGCGTTCCGAGGCATTTCTGGCCAAAAAAATAAATAAACTACTAATGGGATAAATGCAAGAGATATACTAGAATAAAGCCTTACTGCGGAACTTTCCAGGCACAACAAGCGGCGGAACTTGCGGGAAAAGTTACGCAATGCACCTTTAAACATATTTTTTTTTAGATTTTCAAGTAGATATATTGTAGTGCAATGAGTTAAAATCAGTTTTAAAATAGGGCTGCGCGATTGTGGAAGCGTTTGTGATTGTGAGTATTTTTTGCGATTTCTGTTTTAACGATAAAAGTTCAGAAGAATTTATGAAAAAAAAACAAAACAATACAAGATGCTGGAGATTTGGTTTGTGAAGGAAATCATTGCAGCCTTTCTTGCAGCCCTAGTTTAAAATATTCAAGTATAAAATCAAAAGGTTTCAGCTGCGTTTGAATGTGTTAAAATTAAAAAGTCGACGTTCGTGGTGTCAGTTCTTCCACGTGTAGCTGTAGTTGTTCATGTTGAGGTGGTTCAGAGCCGTTTTGCCCAGAGTGGACGGAGTCTGGAGCTGTTGGACTGAAGCTGAGAGGAGACCACAAGAGGAAAGGTCCACGGAAGAAGAGGACGACTGAAGAGACAAACACATTATAAGTCATTAGGGCTGTGGAGATTATTTAAAAACACAAATAAATACAACATAATACAATACAAATGTGCTTGAAATGTGCTGATTGAAAAGTTTCTAAATAGAGATTACATACTTACAAATAAAGTATGTTATTGTGGAAAATCATAAATTGTTTCTTCTCTTTGAAATTCAGGGTTCCCACTTTTTTTCACTAACAAAAGTTCAAACTTTTGCATGACTTTTTCATGACCTAAAATGAATTTTCCATGACTTTACAGCACCTGCATGTGTAGAATTTATCATATTTTTAAGGCTAAATATGAAATGTGAACTCTTTCCACTCACCTTATGGTTTGGGATTATAATTTTTTAACATTCAAAATCCTGTCAGTGCATTTATTGTCGTCTCTTTTAAGCAAAAGGCGCAGACGTTCAAAAATAATCACAATAGCCTAATAAGAACTTAACAGAACACTATAGTTGAGTGAAAGAGATACTAAAACTCCATGACTTTTCCAGGCCTGGAAAATGACATTTTCAATTTCCATGAGTTTTCCAGAATTTTCATGACTGTGGGAACCCTGGAAATTGTAATTTAATACTACCACTGTCTTTATTATATAAAACAAAATACATATATTTAAAAATGTGCGTTAAATTTCTAACGACTTCAAATTTTTAGTTGTGAATATAAAACATGAAGCAAGACTGAACTTTGTCATTAAAGATGCAATATGCAACTTTCTGGAGGTGGCACGTCACCGGCATGATTCCATGGAAACAGAAAGTTAAAACCATACTTTGGAACATTCTCCATGGAGATAAGTTTCATACCCACCCATACTGTGGAGGATTATAAACAAAAGAACTACATTTCCATTGAAACAAAACTGAGACAGCAGAGTACGAGTCAGGTTTGAGTCAAGGCCACTCACAGGAAGAATTTATGTTTTTTCAGTGCAATAAATGCAGTCAAAATTGGATAAAAAGTAATATTCTGAATTACAGAAATGTAGAAACACTGTTATATCGTTTGATTTGTGAGGCTGAGCAGTTTTACCTGTGTCTTGTTCTTGTTGACGTTCATGACGGCGGTCGGGGCGTGTGTGTACAGAGACGCAGAGAAGTTTCCCTTTTGAGCCGGACGGAGCAGAGTCGTGATGGAGTGAAGAGCGGAGGGCAGGATCGGACCTGGGGAACACAGAAGAGAGAAAGAGACAAAGTAAGAAAATCTATATCATATAATTTCCATTTTGTATTTTCACTGTATAAAATAAGTAAGTGAGGAGATTTACCTGTGACCTCCAGACTGCTGATGTTCTGGTAGCCCATCCCCACCTGGCTCTTCACGTTTACGCTTCTCGCCTGAAAGGACAAAATAATTAAAAACCTTTTCTTTACTGTTCACATTTCTAGAATTTTTCGCACACAAGCAAAATTCTAATTAAAGGGTAGAATGACAAATTAATAGGGGTCTAACGGTACATGTATTCACGCCAAATTGTTTCGGTACGGGACGTTCGATTCGGTGCAGGGCTGTGCACGAGTGAGTTTGCGCAATTTGTGTGTGTTTACATTCCACCACTACATGTGCAGCTACACGGAGGCTCAGCTCTTAAATATTCACAAGGGAACTCGTCCGTGATTGGGGCGGCAGTGTTTCCAGCAGCGCTTTATAGTTAGGGCGACCGCCTTAACAACAATTGCCCCCCCCGCCTTGACTACATCCCTCCGAACCATGTGAATCCCCTGCCCCTTGTGTACTGTTTACAACAAATTTATTTTTTATAATATTTCATACATTTGTGGCTTATTTGAGAATATTTTATTTAACTTATTAGTATTACCAAGCAGCACTTTGCATTTATTTTGTTCCCAAACTGTACCGAAAATGAACCGAGCTGTGACCTCAAAACCGAGGTAGGTACTGAACCGTGATTTTTGGGTACCGTTACACCCTTAATACACTTCAAATCGCTCCACTGCGTCATTATTCATTCAGTCCAGACTCAGTGGTGGCAAGTTACTATTGTAGCCACAGCTGCCCTGGGACAGACTGACAAGAAGTGAGGCTGCCAGTCTGCACCATCGCCCCTCTGACCGCCACAGTAGTGCTGCTTAATTATGGAAAAATTCACAATTATTTTGGTCAATACTGAAATCACGATTATTCAAACTGTTATTTTTTTTTGTTACATGATGCTTTTATTCAGCATTTCTCTCTCTCTCAAAAAAAAAACCCCAAACACTTTGTTATTGATAATTTCAGCAAAACTTTCAAATTGAAAATAAATATAAGCCACAAATATGAACCTTAGAGCAGTTTTGTGATGTAGAAAACAAAAGATGAATAAAATAAACTCTGAACATGAAATAAAGCATAGAAAAACATAAATGTACCCAAAATAAACTATATCTAGCTGTTCTACAATCTCTATATGTAACAAATAAAATAAAGACACTTATTTCTACAAAAAAATATCCCAAAATAATCCTTACACCACACACACCGCAGTCATACTACAGCCAATGTGGGTAAAGCGTCTTGCCTAAAGACACGACGACTTGATTCTGAGACGGATTTTCAGACTGGAGAGCCACTTCTCTAACCACAGGGCCGTTTCTCGTCCTAAATTGAGAATATATACTACAATACTGCTGTTGATGACAAAGAAGTATGTGTGCACCTTGAGCGTGTGCAGAGCGGCTCCTCTGAAGGCCACGGGGCTGAGCAGCGTCGGGGGCAGACCGGCCTGGGACCCCGCGGAGGCCACCAGGCTCTTACAGTTAATGAGGAAGTTGATGAGCGTGAACGTGTCGGGACCCTCCACCAGGACCACGGACTCGGGTTTGTGATCCAGAGAGACCGTCTGGCCGTCTTTACGCCTGGGACAAGGTCAAGGACGAAAACTAGAACATTATGGTATCGTTAAAAAAAATTATATTTATCTAGACTTTGACTGTTTATTTTTATTCTTCTGCTGTTCTGGCACTTTTAGTTGCAACACTGAAATTTCCCCACTGTGGAACAAATAAAAAATCTCTCATTTTAGAAACATGTGCATCATTTAGAGTTAAATAAATGATACGCCTATTTAATTATAAACCTCTTCTGTCAGTACAGTGTTTTGGGGTCTGTGTATACGAGACACTGTTGGGCAAGTGACTTTAAAACTGTAACGTGTTATTTATGACTTGTTTCATTAGTTACATTACAATATTACTGTATTTAAAATGTAAAATATTACACGACTATTACAGCACTTTTAAGTTACTCACACCAAAATAACTGCGAAGATGCTGAACTTTTGTGCCGTATATGGACTGAACCAGGAACCAGAACTGAACCGAGGACTGAACCAAGACTAAACCAGGTCTAAACCAAAACTGAATCAGATCTGAACCCGGACTGAACCAGGACTAAAACAGAACTGAACTAGGACTAAACCAGGACTGAACCAGGACTAAACCAGAGCTGAACCAGGACTGAATCAGGACTAAACTAGGTCTAAACCAGGACTGAACTGAGGACTAAACCAGGACTAAACAGGACTAAACTAGAGCTAAACTAGAGCTGAACCAGGATTGAATCAGGTTTAAATCAAAACTAAACCAGGACCAAACTAGGACTAATCTTGGACTAGAGCGGGCGTCAGCTGCGTTTTGTCCCGTGGTGCGTGGAGTTCTGTGTCGGTCCTTTCGCCTGTGGTCACCTCACAGTCTACACGGGCGCGTCTCTGGCGTTTCACCGCTGCTGATATCTCGTGATTTTAGCGAATTTGCATGAAGAAAAATGAAAAACCCACCACTTCAATCCAGGTTAAAAAAGCATTGTAACGCGTGTTTCTCACATTTGTGCCGAGTAAAATATTACTATTGTTTCCCTGTAATGCCACATTACTGCGTTACAGCAAAAAGCAACACATTACAGTAATTCCTTACTTTTATAACGCGTTACTCCCAACACTGATACCAGGTAATAGTTATTAAATTCAGTTAATTATTAGTACAATGAATGATTTGTGTCAATTAATATTAACTAGTCCTTAATAAACAAATTAAAATATACACAATGCAAGAATTATTCAGGTTATGCTCAAATGTTATAACTAGACTAAAGCAAAGTGATATGACCTTAAATTGTACCTCTCTCAATGTGGGCTTTTTTTTGTATATAAAATGCAAATTAAAACAGTATTATGAGCTAAAAGGATACAGCTGAATGGAGATGGAGTCTGGTTTCTTGATCTTGTCCTGGACGCCCATCTCCTTCAGCCACGACAGGTCCTCATCGTGTTCATCGCTCTTCCTCTCCGTCCGCTCCTTCTCTTCTTCTTCGTCATCCTCCTCTTTACCTCCACAACAACTGACGAGGAGAAAAAGAATCACCTCATTTACCTCATATTGAATAATCTCGGCTTCTTATTCGATTTCTTTTTTTTCTTTTGAAAAAACAAAACTTTCAATATTGGTTTAATGAGAATGAACAAGACAGATTTTTAACGAATGTTTTAACACAAAAATAGTCTGCTCCAAACCGCTCCAAATAGTTTTTACTGACACAGGATCAGCTGCTTTACCATTCAAAATAACCAAATCTTGATTAAAATTTGAAGAGAATTTCAGTTGTTCAAATCTTTATCAAAATATACACTGTTTTTTTCATACTATAAGTCAGTTTGGGTGTTTCCTGCGACTTATACTCATGTGCAACTTATAGATAAACATTTTCACACTGACAGCTTCAGGAGGGTCTAGTCTTGTGTGTCAGTGTCTCCTACTCCTATTACTCCTTCATGTGTCACTGCAAAAAGAGCCCCTGCAAGCAGTGAAATATGCAGCCGAAAAAGGTAATCGAGCTGCAGAAAGAAAGTTTGGAGTGAGAGAGAAACTTGTGAGGGACTGACGAAAGGAGGGGATGGAAAACACAGCTTCACGTTAACCGGGAGGATGCACCGTGAAACTTTCCTGGAAGTCACTGGATGGATGGACAAAACCTGGACTTCAGTGACACCGAAACCATCCTGACGGGATTCAGAAAGACCGGAATAATTCTAACTGGAACTGATGCTGAGTCTGACGACAGCGACACAGAAGAGGAAGCGGCGTTGCTCAGAAGTGACACCGAGGATGAAGAATTGAATGAATTTAGTGATTTGGAGTGAGCTGGAGAGTTTGTTAAACTTGTTCTGTTGTTTATGTTATAGTTTATCTGAAGAACTGTTCATATGTGACGTTAACAGTCTGTTGTTCTCTCTTCTATTGTTTTTACTAGAACTTGACTTTTAAGATGAAATATCAGTTCCTGGTCTCTTGATTTTATAAAATACATTTCTACTTATACGTTTTTTTTCTTCTTTGTTACACATTTTTTGGCTGGTGCGTCTTATAGTCCAAAAAATACGGTACATTTAATAAAAATACAGAAAACATACTCGTCGTCTTTCTCTTTGCCACAGTCCAGTTCATTGTCGATGTCCAGGTCCCTGCTCTTCCTCAGCTCCTCCACCAGGGGGAGACTGAACTCTATCCCTGAAAGAACACACACACACACAATATTAAAACAAAACTGTACATTGCAAGGGGGTTTGTGTATTGTAAATTATTAAAATATATGTATTCAAGTGTTGTGCAAGAATCTCAGACCATGTTTTTAAAGCTTTAAACTACAGGGTTAGCAGCTTTTCCACAGAATAAGACCCCATGTAGAGACACAGGGAGGTTCAGTTCTCAAAGAGGACATTATAATACCTAAATAATTACACTCCTTTTTTTTTATATGGACCTACAGAGGTTTGACTGGGCTGTTATAAAATGCCAAAAATAAATATGGAAGTGATTATAGCCCCACCCTCAGCCTTCATGGCCTCTCGAAGTCCTCTGGTCGTGGGAGAAATCAGAGCCGTGATGCTGCTGGATCCGGTGAGGCCGGCCGCTTTGAACAGAACTGTGAACTGGAAAATAAACAGAAAGAATTAAAGAAGTTAACAAAAATACTGAAATATGAAAGTGTCAAATCAAATATCAACAATTTTCCCCCCAAATAAATTCTACTTTTTGACTAGGGCTGGGCAACACGACGAAAGAGCATACCTTTTTTTCCCCCTTAATCACAATCCCCGATTTAAAAACACAGTGGAGCGCTTCCTGTATCACCACATGACATCACAAGGTGCAACAGAGTGTTTTCAGATTCAGAGAAGTGTAGGTTTGTATGTTAAACATGTGTGAATAAAACAAAACACAACTCCAGGTCTGTTTGTGAGTAATATGGGCCCATTAAAGATTTCAAATTTTAATAAAAAGTGACATTCAAATTTGATTAAAACATAAGAGAAATATAAGCTAGGTAAGTAATTTGAAATAGACTTAACAATAAAATAAGTGGATTTTGAGAAGTTATTTTTCTTATCAAAATGAAAAAAGCAACAACGTTTCAAATCAAAGTTAGGATTACAAACAGACAAAACAGAAAAGAAATTTAAACCAACATAAAAATTAATCAAAAAAGGCAAGTCAAATAAACAAACAAATGATTTTGACGTATTAAAAACATTTTAAAATGTCTTTCGATATTAATTTCCTGAACATAAACTCTTAATCTCTTTAAATAATTGCCATTTAACCCAAAAAATAGTCAAATTTCTTCCTCTAAGTTCTAAACTCTGGTCGAAACTACAGGAACGGCTCTAGATTTCTCTCTTAAAAGACCCAAAATGATCACTGACAATTAGAAATATAACTCAGTCTCGATCTATATTCAGTTAAAAAAGATGATATTTTTGGCATTTATGTTTTGTTTATGAGTTTGACGGGGACAGAGCACATACCTGATAGGAGCAGAGGTAGAAATACGGGCAGAGTTTGGCTTTGAGTAAACTGTACAGGGACGACAGGCTCACAGACCTTTGAAAAAACACAAACCAATTATTATTATTATAAGAAAAAATATTTTAACATACAGTATAACATATTAATGACGAATAACTGAATAACATTACAATACGCCAGGTTAAAAGCTCATAAAAAGCTCATTTTGATTTTAAATTCTCACCATTCGCTCATGAGGCTCTGCTGCAGTGCGCCGTCTTGAGACCAGGGGGCGCTCTTGCCGGTGAAGCTCCTCTCGGCGTTGATCCGGGGGAAGAGCGAGAGCCAGGGCAGGGACGGGTGCTGCCAGTAAACGAGGCTCTGTTGGAATGAGCTGCGCAGCTCCGAGCACGACTTGGCGTCCTGCAGAGACGCACCAAACACAAGAGAGAACATCATTTAATGCCCTGATACAATCCAAACAAGCAGAGAGTTAGAATGAGGATTTGTATCATAATTAGCAGAAAAAATATTGAATTAGATTAGAATATTTGTTTACTCCCTTTTACTAACTTCTCGACATTAGTTTGTTCTTCATTTAAACGGCTGTACCTCATTTCTGTCAGAGTAACTGGTGTTATTATGTGTAGTAGCAGTAGTAAGTACCTGCATACTGTGAGGCAGAGCGCTATAGTAGTAGCAGTAGTAGTAGTAGTAGTAGTAGTAGTACCTGTGTACTGTGAGGCAGAGTGCTGCAGTAGTAGTAGTATTAGTAGTATCAGTAGTAGTAGTAGTACCTGTATGCTGTGAGGCAGAGCGCTGTAGTAGTAGTAGTAGTAGTAGTAGTGACAGTAGTAGTGACAGTAGTAGTGACAGTAGTAGTGACAGTAGTAGTGACAGTAGTAGTGGTAGTAGTACAGTAGTAGTGTAGTAGTAGTAGTGCAGCAGTATCAGTAATAGTAGTGTCAGTGGTACCTGTACTGTACTAGTAGGTAGCAGAGCGCTGTAGCAGTAGTAGTAGTAGTAGTAGTAGTAGTAGTAGTAGTACCTGTATACTGTGGAGCAGAGCGCTGTAGTAGTAGTAGTAGTAGTAGTAGTACCTGTATACTGTGGAGCAGAGCGCTGTAGCAGTAGTAGTAGTAGTAGTACCTGTATACTGTGTGGCAGAGTGTTGTACTGAGCTCTGCAGTGTTGGCTCAGTCCTGCTGCTTCTTCTTGAGCTTTGGGTTTTTCGGCCCAGTTCAGAGACAGAGGAGACGTGAACAGGACTCTGGTCTTCAGGCTCCAGTCTGCAGGATACTCCGTGCACACAGGGGGCGCTATGGAGGCCGGGGCGATGGCAGGAGGACTCTGGAACAACACAACACAACAACTCTAAGTCTTTCGTCGTTTAGTAGAGGTCTTAATACCACACTGTGAAACATTACAGGCAAAGCAATAACATCTCAGGTGACATAGTGAACCTTTAACACATTTTCTAACCTTCAGGAGTGGACTTTTAAGATCTTCCTCGTCTTCATCAAACAGGGAGTCATCTCCAGAAAAGTCGAGGGATTTCTGGAAATAGAAACAAATAAAGTTATTACTCTAACTGTCATGAGAGATGTAATCAACCATAAACGGACGTGAAAGCGAAAATGGACAAACAACAAAAGGACAGAATAAATATTTTGAACTAAATTTAACATAAACATCTAAACAAGTGACATTGATTAGTTTAACTTAAATATGACATTTTTATTATTATAATTAAATTATTCTGTATTTTGAAACACAATTAATTTTGTTAGTATTGATGCTTTGCAATTTGTGTTCTACATTAAGGGTGTGCAAAAATACTGAAAAATCGATATATCGTATTGTTTAATTTGATGATACAGAATCGATATCGTGGGCTGCTGTATTGATATATCGCCAAGAGTATTTTTTGGTATATTTTACTGCATTATTTTATTTTACATTTGACATGTTCACTGTTTTGAGGATTAAAATGTTTGGGATTTCATGTGAACTTTGCACAAGAAGTGGTTTAACAAAGACTTTTAGTATCACAGACATGATTTAGCCTTTATTTTTTATTGAACTGTATCGAATCGATTTGAAATATATCATATCGAACCGAAAGCTCACCGCATCGAGATATGTATCGTATCGTGGCAACTTCTTAACGATACCCAGCCCTATTCTACATGTATGTCTATGGTGGAATGTTCAGCAATTATCATTAAGTGGGTGCAAAAATATCAAAATATCAATATACAGTAGCGTTTAATGTGATGATACAGTGTTGATATATCGGCAAGAATATTTTTCGGTATATTTTACTAAATTATTTTGTTACAGCTACATTTTTGTTGCTTGTTTAGTGGGAGGAGACTCTTTTATGCGACACATTTGACATTTTCACTGTTTTTGATGTCTAAAATGGGCATTTTTCATATTAACTTTGCACAAGAAGTGGTTTACCAAAGACTTTTAGTGTCACAGTCATGATTTAGCCATTATTTTGTACTCTATGTATCGAATCGGTTTGAAATATATCGTATCGAATCAAAATCTCACTGTCTGTATCGAGATATAGATACCCAGCCCTAGTAATTGAGGAAAATTGTTATGCTGTTATGCAGTTTTTTGCTTGTTTACTGTTGGCAGGTTTCAGATTGGCTAAAAATAGGGGCATTTCTTGTAAAAAAAAAAAAAAAAAAAACTGGAATAAATCACTGGTTTTGGGTGAAACTGCTGGGACAGGGGACACAGGGCTCAAAACTGGGACTGTCCCGAGTAAATAGGGATGTCTGGTCACTCTAGGCTTTCAGATATTTCCATTTTTGCTTCTCACATGAAAAATAAGCTTTAAATGAATTGTACCTTGCTGGAAAGCGGTTGTCTTTCTTTGTTTTCCGCCTCCAGAAGTCTCGCAGCAAAGGGAAGCAGCTTCGGTCTTCTTTGTTGACAGCTGTCCCGGTTCTTTTTTCCCCTTTGCCTCCACATTTCCCTCTTCCTCGTTATAAATGATCAACTTTTTACTCGGGCTGTACGTGTTTTCAATGTGTGCGAAGGGGTTTCTGCGCTTTACCCCGCCGCCGCCGCCTCCTCCTGAGCGGTTCTGCGAGTGGAACAGCGGTCCGGGGGAGAAGGGTCGAACGCAAGCCGGGGAAGAGGCGCCTTGGCCCGGGCTGGCAGCGGCCGGACTCCCGCTAAAAGAACCAGCCTCGCTTCGTGCTCTTTTCCTCCGCATTCGCATTATCTCCGCCGGGCGTTTGAAGCTAGGCGAGTATCCAGCTTGTTCGGCCATTTTAAAAGGTTAAAAAGAGTTAAAATAAGTAAAAAAATAAGAGTTAAAAGTTAAAAACCCGCCACTGTTTTTGTTTTAACGGATTTCCGCAGCGAACCGAATTTACCGCGTTGCGTGATGACGTCAGCACGCCGCTTATACACAGATCACGTGTTACGGTTTTTAAAAATTATTATTATTTTATTCAATATTTTTTCCTACATATATTATTTATTTTGTTTGTATACAGATAATTATTTCAAAGTTAATTGTTTAAATATATTTTTTTTACTAATTAAAAAAAAAAAAAAAAAACTGGCTTCAACAGGCTTCTACAGCTCCGTTCAAACAGTGAGAGACACAGGATTACATTCATACCATACTCCATACAACTGTACAACAACTCACCTTTATGCAACAGATAATACTCCCTACAACTGTACAACAACTCACTTTTATGTAACAGGTAATATTCTCTACAGCTGCACAACAACTCACCTTTATGTAACAGATAATACTCCCTACAACTGTACAACAACTCACCATTAAGTAACAGCTAATACCCCTACGGATTAATACACCCTACAACTGCACAACAACTCACCTTAATGTAACAGCTAATACTCCCTACAACTGTACAACAACTCACCCTTATGTAACAGATAATACTCCCTACAACTGCACAACAACTCACCATTATGTAACAGATAACCCTGTCTTTTAAAAAATTACTTATCCTTCTATTTTATTTTGACTTGTGCTTATATATTTATATAATTATAAATATTTGACACCTGTCTGTTGCTATCTGTTTACTTCTTATTTAGAATTTATTATTACCATTTATATTTTTACTCTTCTCTTTGTTATTATATTATATTGTGAAGTGTGAGCTAGTGTGTCCAAATAATTATCGTTGTGGATCGACAAAGTTTGTCTAGGTCTATTAAAAGTGACCATTTAGATTAAAGCAAATTGTTTTATTCAAACTTTTTATGCATTTATGTATTAATCGTAGTTTTATGTATTGCAATCATTGTGTTTTATTATTTACTCCAACTGCTTATAAGGAAAACGTTTGATAAGGAAACAAATCAACAAATCAATCTACCATAAAAAGAAGGTAAAGGTACAAATTTATATCTTTCTAATAAAACATAACCAATTCTCTCTTGTCTCATCTTTCATTCAGTTGGAAATCCATGGGACTTTGATGAGGTATAGGAATCATTCAGGCCTATTTCACTATTAAAAGTTGTCAGTTTTGTTTAATGTATGTTTAAAGCCAGATTTACAATCATATACCCCAGTTATAAGTCCTTGAAAAACCTCTTTTTGTCAAATCTCCCCCTTCTCTCTCTCTCTTCCCTCCTCCCTGTGTCATGGTGATTAATAGGTCGGTATGTAAATGTTGTCTCGCTGTTAATTTCTCGATCATTCGTCATTATCGCGGGTCATAAATCACTCGTGAAGTTCAGCCGAGCGGACGATGATCTGCCGGAGCCCGATCAATGTCCGAAGACGCTAAACTCAGCATCAAAACACCGCGTACTGACAGAAATAATGGATGAGACATTACGCCCGCCGTGTCCTGAAATATTCACGAGGCCTTAAAATAGTCCAGTGAGAGGGACAAAATTAATATGGGACGTTTTTTAAAGCTGCACTGTGTAACTTTTCTGGTAAAGTTCATGCCACCTGTAGTAGTAGTAGTAGTGGTGGTGGTGGAAGCAGTAGAAGAACTAAACCAGGACTAAACCAGGACTAAACTAAACCAGAACTAAACCGGGACTACAACAGGACTAAACTGGGACTAACACGGGACTAAAACGGGACTAAACCAGGACTAAAACAGGACTAAAACAAGACTAAAACAGGACTAAAACAGGACTAAAACAGGACCAAAACAGGACTAAAACAGGACTAAAACAGAACTAAACCAGGACTAAAACAGGACTAAAACAAGACTAAAACAGGACTAAACAAACTAAACCAGGAAAAAACCAGGACTAAACTAAACCAACTAAACCGGGACTAAACAGGACTAAACTGGGACTAAACGGGACAAAACGGGACTAAACCAGGACTAAAACAGACTAAAACAAGACAAAACAGGACTAAAAAGACTAAAACAGGACTAAAACAGACTAAACAGACTAAACAGGACTAAAACAGGACTAAAAACTAAAACAGGACTAAAACAAGACTAAACCAGGACTAAAACAGGACTAAAACAGAACTAAACCAGGACTAAAACAGGACTAAAACAGGACCAAAACAGGACCAAAACAAGACTGAACCAGGACTGAACCAGGACCAAAACAGGATTTTAAACAAGACTAAACCAGGACTAAAACAGGACTAAAACAGGACTAAAACTGGACTAAAACAGGACCAAAACAGGAAAACCAGGACTAACCAGGACTAAACCAGGACTAAAAAACCAGACTAAACAAGACTAAACAGGACTAAAACAGGACTAGAAACCAGGACTAAACCAGGACTAAACAAGACTAAACCAGGAAAACAGGACTAAAACAGGACTAAACCAGGACTGAACCAGGACTAAACCAGGACTAAACCAAGACTAAACCAGGATTAAAACAGGACTAAAATAGGACTAAAACAAGACTAAACCAGGACTAAAACAGGATTAAAACAGGACTAAAACAGGACTAAAACAGAACTAAACCAGGACTAAAACTGGACTAAAACAGGACCAAAACAAGACTAAACCAGGACTGAACCAGGACCAAAACAGGATTTTAAACAAGACTAAACCAGGACTAAAACAGGACCAAAACAAGACTAAACCAGGACTAAACCAGGACTGAACCAGGACTAAACCGGGACTAAAACAGGACTAAACCAGGACTGAACCAGGACTAAACCAGGACTAAACCAAGACTAAACCAGAATTAAAACAGGACTAAAACAGGACTAAACCAGGACCAAAACAGGACTAAACCAGGACTAAACCAGGGCTAAAACAGGACTAAAACAGGACTAAAACAGGACTCAAAATGGTTCTGTTCAGCTGCGTATGACTTAAAGGTTTTCATTCCGCACTCTTCTCTCAAATTTATATAATTAATATCTCTCTCTCTTTTTAATTTTATGATGATTATTTATGTTTTGATTTGTTTGTATTGTGATTTTAATGTATTTCTTATTCTGTAAAACACTTTGAATTACTTTGTGTATGAATTGTGTTTGTATTTAAAAGAAATGTCATAGTAGTCTGCAGAAATAGTAGATATTATGCAAATGCAAATAAACTATATTTATACTCATTGTAGTCTACATGTAGTAGTAGCAGCAGTAAAAATAAGCAGTAGTAGTAGCAATAAAATACTTTGAAAATGTCTGGTGGCGTTTTGGCTTCAGTTTTACTTTCAGACTTTTATTGGCTGTTTCAGGAAGTGGACCACCCAACAGCAAACCACAGAAGCCTGCGTTTTATAAGAATATTTATAGAAACAAAAATCAAACCGTGAGAAATCTCCAAAACAACAACAACAACAAAAGTTTAACAATCAAAATGCACAGAATATTTACAGACAAAACCAGCGAGAAATGCACATGCAGCAGTATAATTTGGAAACAAAGACTTGATAATAATTTAACAACATCATCTGGTTTTAATATACTCCATAAAGCTGGATACAGTTACCATGACTACCTGACATTTTGGTTTTAAAGTCCATGAAAGTTCAGTAATTGTAAAAGTATATTTATTTTCAGTACATAATGTTTTTGGTTTTACATTTTAAATAAAGATTAGATTTGAATAATTGGCACAAACATATTAAAGGGCCCATATTACGCTATTTTCTGAGCTGTTATAATGTTTTTTCCTCGTCACAAACAGACCTGGAGTTGTGTTTTTTTGTTTCATTCACAAAAGTTTAACAGACAAATCCTGCATATTTAGGCATTAGAAGAAACTGAAAACACTCTGTTCCACCTTGTGATGTCATGTGGAATTTTTTGGACTATAAGGAGCACTTAAAATCCTTTGTTTTCTCAAAAATCGATGGTGCAACTTATGTCTTAATTCTGGTTGTGCTTACTGACCTCGAACCAGTTTTACGTGGTACACAGTGCTCAAAAATCTGTCAAAATCACATTTTTTTCAGCGCTCACAGTTTATGCAAATGAGCCACATGGTTTTAAGTTTTGTTTCTGTAAAATGTAAACAAATGTGCTCAAAGCTGCATTAAACACATTACTCAATTTATATTTGAGTAGTCTGATTCATCAGGCAGTTTCACCTCGTGGAAACCGTCTGACCTCGCAGCATTAGGATTTGTTCGCTCGACGGTAGGCGCTGTTATTTGGTCGTGACGTATGTAATGCGCTGCTCACAGGGCTAATTGGTATATCCCTTGGCTTTTCCCAAATCCTGTATGAATAAGGACAATAACGTCTTTCCCCTTGATAAAATTCACCAAACATTCTCTTCGTTCCGGCTTTAAATCCTCGATCTCGGGAATCGTTGGAAACACAGAATGTATGTCTCTTTGCTGATTGGCTGGTTCCGGGGTTTTTGGAAACCGTCTAGTGTATTCTGATTCTTGACCTAGTCACTGGAAAGAAATGAAACTGAGTGGAGGCACTAGGTGGCACCAGCCTAGCTAATATTTCAGTCTTTGTAGGAAACAAAAAACAAACAAATGATCCACCCACAGTCACATTCATAATACACATACTTCACCGAGACAGGGAGGAAACGGCGGGTGAATTACGCCACGATCTCCCAATGGATCATGGACGCCTGAGCTAAGGATCAGTCTCAAGTGTTGTCCGTTTGTTTTGTTTAATGCGCCTTATAGTCCGGTGCTTCTTATGTATGAAAATAGACGAGAGAGTTCAGCATTATTGATATTGCACTTTATAATCCGGTGCACCTTATAGTCCAAAAAATACGGTAATACAGGACTGTGTTTTAAAGGGCCCATCTCATGCAAAATAACTCTTTTGACATTGTATCTTCTGCACATAAACAAGCACAATTTGGGTTTTGGAACATCCATTACACAATAGTTATGAAATCTTACGACTATTGCTCCTCCCCCCGCCCGTCCTGAGAAAGCACAGGCTCCGCCCTCCAAACGTGACGTAGGCTCTGAGTGAGCCGCCCTTCCTCCGCCCATCTCAGGGAGGGAGGGGGAGACAGGCGTGCACCCTGATAGTGGCAGGAATAAACTTTTATTCATCATGGAGATACAGCGCGTTCAGCCGCATGTGTTGGACCTGGAATCGGACGAGGACTTTGAGGTGCATGAAGCTCAAGCACCTCCTCAACATCAGCTGAACATTACTGATGTGTAAAGTATTAATAAACGCTAGTAGATAAACTTATTATATCGTGTTCACTGCAATCAGGGTGGAGTCGGGCAGAGGCGAAGCGTTTTCTGCTACGTCAAATGCATCACAGGTGTATCTGCCGTGTCATTGTTATAGCAGCTTTAGTTCATTGTCAAGTGGGAGGGTGGCAGAAATACACTGCAATTTGTTAAAAAAACCATCAGTCTTACAAGGTAGAAAGCTCTGAAAAGTCGATTTTGCTCGAGATGGGCCCTTTAAAACTCCATTCACTAGAGTCATTTAGATGATTTCAGCCCTGGAACTGTCAATCTCTATCTTGAAAACTACCACTTCATGACATCACAAGGTGGAACAGAACATTTTGAGCTTTGGAGATGTAGACAGACTAATAAAGGATTACTCAAACATGTGAATGAAACAAAACACAAGTCCAGGTCTGTTTTTGAGGAGATAACAACATTATAACATGATTTAAAGCTCACAAGAGTAAATTTTGCGTAATAATGGACCCTTAATTTAAACAGTTTTGGGATTAAAGTTTTAAAACAGCGAAACACAAAAAAATGAACATTAACATAGTGCAACGACATAGTGCGGTTCAGCCAATCTAATTACGGATAGTAGCTTTAATATATCTTAAATATGAATCTAAAATTTTATTGTATTCTACTGAAATTTAGTGGCTATTTTGCATCACAGTAGCTCAATAAATAAGTAGCAAAAACAAGAGAATGACAAGGTTTTTTAGCAAATTACTATGTAGGAACAAAAATATGAAAACGTGAAATAATGCTGACTTGCTTCGTAGTTTGTTTGGTGAGATTAAAACGTCAGATCATCACATTTTTTGGCATCTATTCACAATAACAAGGAGACGACACAAGATAATTTACAAAGGTTTTCAGCCCAGTGCCAACGCATGCTGTACATCGTCAGTGTAAAACTATAACTCAGTTCATTTCCTGGTTTAAATGTCATCTTCTTCTTTTTTTTTTTTTTTTCGATAAGTCCTTTTTTTATATTTTAAATGTCTGTATCAGTAGGATGGAAAAACGGGTCAAAGCAACAACCTGAGAAAGTGAGCAAAGGATTCTCGAACTTCTTAAAGCTCTAAAGTTGTTTAAAAGCGCAGTGCGGAACTTTTCTGCTCGTTATTACTTTGCGTCGAGTCAGATCTGTGAAGTGGCGGCCTTGCTTACAGTAAGAATACATGTTTTTTTTAAGATTTGAGATGATTTTGTTATTGAGTAAACACAAAATAACTTTAATGCCATACACTGTGACATTATTTATTTATCATTTTTAGCTCTATGCACTTTAACACTTAAAAAAAATAAAAATAAATTATGATTTACTGTCTTTTATTGTAATAACTTTAGAAACTGTCATATATAAATAAAATTGGATTGGATAAACTGTATTTTATTTTATTCCTTTTTGCCTTTTTAATTATTTAATTAATTATTTTTTCATGTGTTGTTTTATAATTTCATACATTACTGATAAAATAAAAATCTATGTTTTAAAAATAGTTTAAAATATATCTGGAGATTAGTCCAAAGTAAAAAGTAATTTTTGAGCTACAATTTTACTTTGAAAAATTAAAGCTGCACTACGTAACTTTTTGGTTGGGGGTCCTTCAGTTGCGTGTTTCTATAGATATGTCATTGCACTGCCTGAAATGTTCCACAGTGTGACATTAAACAGCTCTACTTTACATTTATTCAATTACAGGTGGTTTTATAGCTCAAAAATACCTAGAAAAACAAACATACTGAATATGAGTGGGGTCTCCTCTCCACAGATCTGACCTGTAACTTGGTCTGGTTTGGTCTCCATGGTGATAGAAAGGTTTAATGCCGTACTGTGAAACATTCCAGACAAAGCAATAACGCCTCCACCAGAAAAGAGACACAACGCAGCTTTAACTTTCCAAAATATAAAACGCGTAGATTTAAATTTCTTCGTTCAGTGACCGTTTGCCCACTGTCCCCGGAGTTTCCCGACTATCGACCGCTCCTGTGTCTGTCTTTGGTCTTTTTGGTCTTTCAGTACGGTCTCCACACGGCTTCGGCGGCGGCCATGTTGGTAGGGGAGGAGCTGTGGCTGGACTCCACCTCCACGCCGACGCCTTCGTTCTGGTTGGGCAGCGAGGGGTGGAGGAGGGCGGAGCCTGTGGAGGCGTTGGTGCAGGGCGGCAGGATTCGGGGAGGGGAACGCGAATCACCTCCGTTGGCCGTTCGGTCTCCGGCCATCATGGAGAACTGGTACGAACCTAAAAAGAGACAGAAATAAGTACATGTAAATATGTGTTTTCATTATAAGTCGCACTTTTTTCATGCTTTAGGTGTTTCCTGTGACTTATTCTCCTGTGCAACTTATATATTTTAATATTCACACTGACAGTCGCGAGAGGCTCTAGTCTTGTGTGTCAGTATCTGCTGCTCCTGTTCCTCCTGTACCAATGCCACTTCACTCTACTGCACATGTCTCCTGCAGAAAGAGCCTCTGTCCTGTCTGTATCATGTCAGTCGATTGCACTATTACTTCTGTAACACTGAACAATTTAACATTTAAACAAACTTATAAAAACGACTGAGAAGACTGAACACAAATGCCCCCAAAAAGAAAATCATATTTTGCAGATTACAAGCTGCAAGTCGTGAAATCTGCAGCTGAAAACAGTAATCGAGCAGCACAAAGAAAGTTTGGAGTGAGAGAGAAACTTGTGACACCGGGAGGATGCACCATGAAACTTTCCTGAAGTCACTGGATGGATGGACAAAGCCTGGACTTCAGTGACACCGAAACCATCCTGTCGGATTCAGAAAAACTGAAATAATTCTAACTGGAACTGATGCTGAGTCTGACAACAGCGACACAGAAGAGGAAGCGGCGCTCTGTTTACCTCCGGAGGTCGTGGAGTTGCTCAGAAGTGACACCGAGGATGAAGAATTGAATGGATTTAGTGATTTGGAGTGAGATGGAGAGTTTGTTAAACTTGTTCTGTTCTGTTGTTTATGTTATAGTTTATCTGAAGAACTGTTCATATGTGACGTTAACAGTCTGTTGTTCTCTCTTCTATTGTTTTTACTAGAACTTGACTTTTAACATGAAATATCGGTTCCTGGTCTCTGATTTTATAAAACACATTTCCCCCAAAAAGTGCAACTTAAAGTCCGATGCAACTTATATATGTGTTTTTTTTCTTCTTCATTACACATTTTTTGGCTGGTGCAACTTATACTCCGGAACGATTTATAATCCGAAAAATACGGTACATACATGGTTAGGGTAAAGTGTCTTGCCTAAGGACGCAACAACAATTTACTCTGTTTATGGATCAAACTGGTAATCTTAAAGGTTATAAGATCCTGTTCCTCTACCAGCTGATAATAATTGAATAATAATTTTCTGACAGCTATTCCAGGGACAGAAGATGAAAAAAGCAAATTCTGGCATATTTACAAAAATATTTATTAACGTACATTGTCCCTGTTAGATAAACTAATAAATAAAATAAAATAAATACAAAAATAAAGCCACATGTGTCTAAAACAATAGGTAGAATAGAAGCATTTTGATCGAAAACACATATTTTTCTACATAATACGTGAGTCGCATGGGGTTGGTTAACTGAAATTCTCTTACAAATTTCTTAAAAATGTCAAAAATTTGGCAGTTTAATTTGCACTTTTTTGTTTGAATCCAGTAAATCGCAATTTGAATGGACGCAATAAGCAAATCATAAAAGTTGTAATTGTTTTAAGTATAATTTCCTCCGCAAATCAAATCTCAAATCGTTTAAAAGCCAAACTTCCGTCATTGCGAGATAGGTCCGGAGCAGGTTCCCCCCTCACCTGTGGAGTAGTAGAGGTGATAGGGCGACGACGTGGACTGGAAGGGTCCGTTCTGGGTCTGGTGGGGGGTGCTGGCGGAGTAGGGCGGGGGCAGGTAGGTGTGGTAGCGTCCGATGCCCAGGGCGCCGTTGGAGACCGTGTTGTGGGCGGAGCTGTAGGTGAAGGCGGCGGCGGTGGCGGGATAGTGAACGCGGGGATCGGAAAACCGCGAGTCGGGGAGAGAGGGCAGGGAGGAGAAGGGGCGCTCGATGGTCATGCGAGGATCACTGAACGCCGTCAAGTCCGGACCTGAGAGGAACAGAGAGAAGATTAGATTTAATATTCAAATACTAAATAAATGGTGGAAAGAGAGTGATTATATTCAAATTAAAACTGCAATATAAGTAGGTGAAATGATCAAATCGTAAAGACTGCATTTGTTTAGGTAACAGAATGTGAACTATAAACGACATAATATTGTCTTGTTGTATTTGTAGTTTAGATCTCTACAAACATGTTCTGAAACACGTGGGATTCTTCTATTAGTTTATCACTTCAGATTTCAGTCTTATCTTGATGTTATTGATGATGACTTGATGCTGACCTTATTTCACCCACTTACTGTTGCTGTACTTGCTCATTTCAGCTGAGAATTTGGGAAAAGTTTTGTGTGTTATTGTGTTGTACATCGCACATCTAAGTCGTTACCTGTGAGTCGTGACGAGAGGTCGAGGGAGGAGCGTCCCGGAGACAGCGGATTGGCCGAGTGCACAGTGGGCGTGGTTATCTGTCCCAGGTATGGATATGATTGGTCGTAGGACCAGGAAGGAGACGACTGCATCTGTCTAGAGTCTGAGGAGAACAGACAATTGTTTATTAATGTTATGTATTTTTTTGGCAGATTTTGTTGTTATATTTGGCAGAACAGTGTCTTTGATCAAAATCACAGGACGATTAATCAAAGTGATAGTGTGTAGTATTAAAAGTCATCTGCATCATTCCACGGAAATGTAAAGTTACCCTGCGTTCGATTGTCCTTACGAATCGGTTTTCCGAGGAAGTCGCCTAGTGACACGTCCCTTTTTCTGGAACGGTGCAACTCTGACCTCGGTGATGGAAAAAGTCGACCGAGCAAGGATTCTGAGTCAGAATCCAAGACTCACTGTGACGTGTAAATATGAAGTGTTTTCACTGTTTGGACATATTAAAGCCAAAGGAACAACATTTCCATGGAATCAAGCAGGAGGAGGCCGTCCTGCAGTGTAAATAAGAGAGAGGTTTGTGGAGACACGAGCCCAGTCACTGTAAGAACGCATGATTTTCAAAACATTTCAGTGGAATAAAAACATCAATATTAATAATAATTTAAAAAAATTACATTTTGGGGGAAAAAGGGATATACTTTGGCTTGAATAAAACTTCAAACACAAATAACAATAGTGAAAAATTTTACAACAAAATACATTTTATAATGTAGCGTTCTTTTATTACAAATGGATAAAAAAACAGAACAGCTACAACTATTACAGCTACAATCCTACAACTACTGCTTTTCCAACTTCATATTTGGAATTTAGGTTTAATCCCTTTTATGATCACCAGGGGGCAGTATTTCTCAACTTTATGTTTTGTTAACTTAACCCCTTAAAACCTGAATTTATAGAGATATGTATATATATAAAAAGTGTTTTGTGTGTGTTTTTGCCTTTTAAGTAGAAGGTAAATTAAGTTGAGATAATTAATTTGACTATAGCAAAAAAATTATAATAATGACTTCACCTTGTTTTACCAAGGTTGAAACAGACTATAGACCATCGTAGATATATTCCCGCTTATCCATGGGTTTCAGGGTGATCAAATCTATCCCTGTTACCATAGCAATTACCAATTTAAACCAAATATTACATCTTTGGAAAGGGTAAAAGTCCTCAAATATCAAACACTTTTTATCACCTATTGATACTTTGGAGTGACCTGAAGCTGAGGATGTTCTGCATGTATGTCTATGGTGGATTGTGCATGTATGTCTATGGTGGATTGTTCAGCTGTTACCATGGTGTCACAAAGCACACGCGGATTGAAACGGCACATTTTTAGGAGATTATTAACGGTTAATATCATCAGCCGCAAAGTACCAACAACCACAAAAGCTGAAGCCCGCGAAGCAGATGAGACAAAAAAAAAGTTGGCCAAACAAAACAAAAAAACAAAAACTTTAGGCTGCTAGGTTGCGCGCGGTTGTCATGGCGCCCGGAGGAAGTGATTAGCAGTGAGTGGGCGAGTGGATGAATGGATTTCTCTACAGTCCAATAAACTCCAGCCGCAGACGCAGTTAAACGGGCCCTTTTCAACTCGGGCCAAATCTGAACCGTGGACCGGGGCCAAGATCCGCCTCGGCATACCCAGACACAGCGAGCTCCGGTGGGGTAAAGGGGGGAGAGACGAGCCCCCTGGACATGGAGCTGTCCGTGGGTGTCAGCTTCCTGTTGTTTATACGTCAATTTGACCGCTGTTTTTCCCCCGTTTAGAAGTATAATATTTAGTTTTACATTGTTAATCACTACAACAACAGCCTTATTTATTTATGTCTTTTTTTTTTTTTATCAATCTGGAAGAACTTTTTCTCATTCAGCAGACATAATATTTAGTTTTTCATTGTAAATTGCACGCCAACAGACCTAGTTTTTTGTTTTTTTTTCATCATTTTGGAAGGGTTTTTCAAAGTCAAAAGGTAGAATATGTAGTTCTAAATAGTTATTCGCTACGGCAACGGTCCAGTTTTTTTTTTCTATAATTCTCGAAGGAGTTTTTCTTATTCATAATTGTTAATCACTATGAAAACGGCTTTAATTTTTGGGTATTTTAAAATTAATCTGGAAGGCGTTTTTCTCATTCAGTAGATATAGTACTTGCGTTTTACTTTATTAATTGCTGTCATTCATTGTCATTCTGAAAACCATTCAAAATTTGCCTTGCCATCCACAGTATTCAACATTTTGCAGATTTTTATCCATTCAGAAGATACAATATTTAGTTTCACATTGTTAATCGCTATGACAACTGTCCTATTTTTTTTTTTTTTTTTTTTCATTTTGGAAGGGTTTTTCAGAGTGAAAAGGTGTGATATGTAGATTTATATTGCTAATCGCTATGGCAACGGTCCTCATTTTTTGTTATGGCTCTTGAAGGACTTTTTATCCATTCAGAAGATACAATATTTAGTTTCACATTGTTAATCGCTATGACAACTGTCCTATTTTTTCTTTCTTTTTTTTTTATCATTTTGGAAGGGGTTTTCAGAGAAAAAAGGTGTGATATGTAGATTTATATTGCTAATCGCTATGGCAACGGTCCTCGTTTTTTGTTATGGCTCTTGAAGGACTTTTTATCCATTCAGAAGATACAATATTTAGTTTTACATTGTTTATCATCATGGCAACGGTCCTAATTTTTGATCATTCCGAAAGTACTTTTTCTCCATTCAAAAACTTTTATTTCTAATCGCTATGGTAACAGATTTATTTATTTATTTTTAACTCATTCTGAAAGCCATTTAAAGGGTTAGTTGTTGTACCCATTTTTTTGAATAAAGTTTGTCTTGCCCACTGTAGCCGACATTTTGCAGACTTTCATTCAAAAGACTTTATTTTACATTGTTAATCACTATGGCAACAGTCCTAATTTATTCATTTTTAACTTTTTCTCCATTGAAAATTTACAATATTTAGTTTTACACTGTCAATCATACTTTCTACTTATAATATTTTATACAATCACTATGGCAATGGTAAAATTTTTATCATTCCTGAAGAATTTTTTTCCCAAACATATAATATTTTTTATATTTTGTTAATCGCTATAGCAAAGGTCGTCTTTTTTTGTTTTTTTCTGAAATTCTGAAACCTATGAACAAGATGAAGATTTAAGAGGAGACATGGATCAGTAACCACACGTGACAAAAGTAAAAGTAAAAGTACTGCTACTCCAAAATAGTACTCAACGTAAAGTTAAAGTCTCACGATGTAATTTTTCTCGTATCTCCATGTTGCAACCAATGACTGGAATATTCCACAGTGTTGCATTAAACTCGTCTGAAGCCAGCAGGGCAAGTTACAGGTCAGATCTGTGGAGAGGCGAGTCCACTAACAGTAAGAATATATGTTTTTATCTGTGTTTTTAAGCAAAGCGACGCCTATAATTCAACAAATGCAACGTAAAGAAGTGCATCGCCGCGCCGCACTGTGGGACATCACAAACAGAGAACTGTCATCGCCATGGAGACGAGCACATTTTCAGTTAGTAGCAAAGGTGTTTCTCAGCAAGCCACACAGAAATCAAAATAGTTTCTTCATCATAACGTGAGAATAATTTGTTTGATCGCTAATATGTTTGAGTCACTTCCCGCCAGGCGTCTTTCACTTCCTCCCTGCGGCCCGGACCAACATGGCTGCCTACGTGAAACCGCCAGATCCGCGTCACCGGGTCTGAACACAGAAGAGGAACAGAAATGGAGCAGGATCCACACAGGGACCGCAGAGAAACCGCACAAACCGTAGCACGGCCGCAGAGAGGAAGTGCGACTACGACGTGTGACCAGGCTGGCGTCAGGATCAACAATGAGACTGGTGCTACTTCTGCTTTGAAACTTTTACAGAGATGTGTATTTAACAAAACCAAAACTAAAGTACTGCTACTACTACTGCTGCTACTGCTACTACTACTGCCACTACTACAACTACAACTACAACTACTATTACTAGGCGTCACGATCAACAATGAGACTGATTCTACTTCTTCTTACAAACTTTTACAGAGATATTTATTCAACAAAACCAAAACTAAAGTACTGCAACTGCTACTACTACAACTACTACTACTACTACTACTACTACTACTGCTACTACATGTCAAGATTAACAATGAGACTGAGGCTACTTCTGCTTACAAACTTTTACAGAGATATGTATTTAACAAAACCTAAAACGAAATTACTACAACTACTACTACTAATGCTGCTACTACTACTGCTACTACTACTGCTACTACTACTACTCCTACTACAACAACTACTGCTACTACTACTACTCCTACTACAATAACTACTGCTACTACTACTACTCCTACTACAACAACTACTGCTACTATTACTAATGCTATTACTACTGCTACTACTACTACTGCTACTACTAATACTGCTGCTACTACTAATACTACTTCTGCTTAGGAACTTTTACAGAGATATGTATTCAACAAAACCAAAAGTAAAGTACTGCTACTACAACAACAACAACAACAACTACTACTAACTACTACTACTACTACTACTACTACTACTACTACTACTACTACTACTACTACTACTACTACTACTACTACTACTACTACTACTACTAACTACTACTACTACTACTACTACTACTACTACTACTACTACTACTACTACTACTACTACTACTACTACTACTACTGCTGCTGCTAGGAAACTTTTAAAAATGCTACTACTACTGCTACTACTACTACTACTACTACTACTACTACTACTACTACTACTACCACTACTACTGGTCCTAGTATTACTACTACAAGACTACTTCCAGTATACTTCCATTGTACATTATGAGACACACTAACAATCTCAAAGGTTGGAATCCCGTTTCAGTCAAGTGCATACTGTTGTTGTGTCTTCGGGCAAGGCACTTCGCCCATACGTGGCTTTTACCTGCAGAGATCTGTGAGTGCGTGGGGCTGGAGAAAGGCGCGGCGTTGAGAGCTGCGGCGGTCGGTCTGCTGTTGGCCGTCTGCTGGTGAGGATGAGGGTGGTGGTGCGGGTGGTGGTGGTGGTGGTGGTGATGAGGAGGAGTGACTCTCATCGAACTTCGCCGCAGCTGCTCCAGCTCCGTCAGACGCTCGGAAAACGCCAGCGAGCCCGGCTTGACCTCGTCCAGCTTCTGACGATGCCCTAAACAAAAACAAGACAAAACAAAGGGTTCTGATCATGTTCACGGATTTGTACCAGCTGATGTCAACACTCTCTGGGGTTGTGATTCTAACTGTACGCACTGCTCTGTCTGAAGCTCCAATGTTGCTTTAAACTGAGCTTTGTTTTAACGGAGTCTGACCAGAAAGAACTGACTTAGCTGGAACTACAACAGGTCTGGGAGACTTGTTTAACAGCGCAAATATTACAGTTCCAAACTTAGTCATTCTCACCTTTTTGTTGAAAATCAAACTCCTAAACAGAAACATGAACGCTCGTTTAGGCTCTATTCACGCTTACATCACAAAACAGGATTGGAAACAATGCAATAACACCTTCCGGCGGGATCTGTTCGCAGTATAAGTCTGACAAAATCTAGTAAAAATGAGATAATGGCCCAGTTTTCTTCATCTCCACATCATTGTAGCATTCCATTATGTTCAGCGAATCAACAGTTACAACCATCCCTCAGTTTTTATCATTTCCCCACTGAAACACAACTCCGAGCGCACAGGTTACATACGATTAGAAGAGTTCAAAATGATTCCAAACAGCACGTACGTATGCAGTCGTCATTTTACCGCTGATCACATTTACTTCAGTGGGTTTTATCCATAAAACTATGATCAAATAAATCCGGAAGATGAATCCAAGATGGCGTTGGATTGTTTTCAGTGGTCTGTGCTCACTGACGCATGACCCCCCCCCAAAAATGTTCACTTCTGCATTTACTTCCTGTGACGTCTGTAACATGCAAGGCGTCAAGAGTTTGGACCAATCAGAGTGAGAGCTAGACTGAGCTCAGAGCGGGGCCAGGCTAAGTCTTACAAAGATCACTATAAGGCGCTTTGAGGATTTTAAAAGTTTATGCTGTGAAAGCAGAAAAGAATCCTACAAAATCCGACCTGTGTGAAAGTTGTCTATGCCCTGTCAGCAGAACACGGGCAGGTTGAATTCCCCAAAAATGCATTGTGCTTCTATGAGAGAATTCTTTCTGGGCCCAAGCTCCCGGGAGCTGCAGTACCTGAAGCGACCACTAGTCGGTCTCAAGTTGTAGGCGAGCCCTAGCCTGATTCATCAGCCGGTTTCACTTTGTGGAAACTGTCTGACCTCGCAGCATTAGGATTCGTTCGCACGACTGTAGGCGGGTAGTTTTTTTAATTAACCAATCACTGCTATTTGGTCGTGACATATGTAATGCGCCGCTAAAGGGGTTAACTGGTATATTAAGCTTTTCCCAAATCCCGTAGGAAGAAGGGCAATAATGTCTTTCCCATTGATAAAATTCACTAAACATTCTCTTGATTCCGGCTTTAAATCCTCGATCTCGGGAATTGTTGACAACACAAAACGTATAACTCTTTGCTGATTGGCTGGTGTCTGAACTCGCACTTCCGGGGTTTTTGCGAACAGTCTGGTGTATTCTGATTCCTGACCTCGTCGCTGGAGAGAAATGAAATTGAGTGGAGGAACTACACCGGAAGTTGTCATCGCATGTTTCCAAACGTCTTCCTGGTTTGTGACGTAATCGTGAGTAGAGCCTGTTTAAATCCATTTTGTGTTTTTTTTTCTTGAAGTTTTCCGACAATCTAAAAAACTTTCTGGCAGTGTTTGCTATAATGTGAGCACTGTGTCACCATGGTAACTAATTCTGCCATAGACATACATGCATGCAAGTGTTTCCATGCAAAACGGTACAGATATATTGTATAATCAGCTCTTGAGGTCAAATAAAGTCTGTGCCGTGTTCCGTCTGCTTCTAATTATAGAGCGTTTTATTGTTCGAAAATCAGGAAGTGCACTTTTAGCATGCTATTTGCTGTTTAAAATGAACTAGTTCTGTTTTTCACGTTTTAAAATGCCATTAAAATCGGCCGGCGGTTCCTGAAGACGACTGTTTCGCCCCCGCGGTGGAGTCTGCTGTTGAACTGTCAGCTCGCACATATTTTTTAAAAGAGGAAGTGTCTTGCCCAATGACACGACGACATTGCGACTGAAGTTACAACATACGCACAACAGCAGCGAGCAGTACAAAAGCCTGGATCTGTACTGTGGAAGTCATCTGCGATATCAAAAAGACAGGAAGTCATTTTAATAGAGAAATGGCGCAATGTCTCTTTCATCATCCCACACACTGTGAACAAAGCTGGGAACTCCTGTGACCGAAGCGCCAATAAATATGGTTTATAATGTCTTTGTAATGTGGTAACAGGGTTTGGGGACGTGGACGTTTTAACGGGGGGTACAGGGGGAGGAGCTACAGGGCCGGGGTAATATAATTTGAGATTAAAAAGAAGGAAGAGTGCAGTAAATAGTAAGCACTCAAGTAAAAGTACTGTTACTGTAACTCTGCATGATTTCATATGTTTATTGAATGTGTTAGCTGTTGTTAGTAACTATTTTCTAGTTAGTTAAGTGACTTTAAAACTGTAATGTGTTATTTATTTATGACTTGTTTAATTTGTTATATTATAATATTACTGTGTTTAAAATGTAAAATATTACACGACTATTGCAGCACTTTTAAGTTTCTCTCAACAAAATAACTGTGAAGATGCTGAACTTTTGTGCCGTATATGGACTAAACCAGGACTGAACCAGGTCTAAACCAGGACTGAACCAGGTCTAAACCAGGACTGAACCAGGTCTAAACCAGGACTGAACCAGAACTAAACCAAGTCTAAATCAGGTCTAAACCAGAGCTGAACCAGGATCTAAACCAGGACTAAACCAGGACTAAACCAGAGCTGAACCAGGACTGAACCAGGACTAAACCAGGACTAAACCAGAGCTGAACCAGGACTAAAACAGGTCTAAACCAGGACTAAACTAGGACTAAACCAAGTCTAAACCAGGACTAAACCAGGTCTAAACCAGAACTAAACCAGAGCTGAACCAGGACTGAACCAGGACTAAACCAGGACTAAACCAGGACTAAACTAGGACTAAACCAGAGCTGAACTAGGACTAAAACAGGTCTAAACCAGGACTAAACCAGGACTAAACCAGGTCTAAATCAGAACTAAACCAGGTCTAAACCAGAACCAAACCAGGTCTAAACCAGAACTGAACCAGGTCTAAACCAGTACTAAACCAGGACTAAACCAGGACTTAAGCCATGGTTCAGTTCTGGTTTAGACCTGGTTTAGTCCTGGTTCAGTCCTGGTTCAGTCCTCAAGACAAGAACACCCGAAACATAGAGAATTTAACCATTACAGGGATTTACAAAGATGTTTAATAAGGTAAAAATGTTCCTTAGTTCTGCTTTAAAGGGGTACGGAGGGGGGCAGAGGGGGTATAGCGAGGGGCAGAAGGGGGCAGAGGAGGTACATGGGGGTAAAAAGGGGGGCAGCTGTTGTTTAACCATCACTCGTCCCAAAACGCCCACAGGAGGAAGTGCAGAAACTCAAGAGCAGCTTTGAAGTTCAAGCCAAGAAGACAAGAGATGTTACGCAGTCTGAAGACCACCACTGTGCTGTAATACACACTGGACCTAAACCAGAACTCAACTATATATATATATATTCTTGGAAACTATCACTTCATGACATCACAAGGTGGAACAGAGCGTTTTGAGCTTTGCAGATGTAGACAGACTAATAATAAAGGATGATTTAAAGCTCGATTATGTGTAATGTAAGACCTTGAAACCCTATTTGCCCCCTCCTAAACCAGGACTAAACCAGGACTAAACCAGGACTAAACCAGGACTAAACCAGGACTAAACCAGGACTGAACCAGGACTAAACCAGGACCAAACTAGGGCTAAACCAAGACTAAACTAGGACAAAACCAGGACAAAACCAGATCTAAATCAAGACTAAACTAGGGTAAAACCAGGTCTAAACCAGGACTAAACCAGGACAAAAACCAAGACTAAACTAGAGCAAAATCAGGACTAAACCAGGACTAAACTAGGGCTAAACTAGGGCAAAACCAGGGCTAAACCAGGGCTAAACCAGAACTAAAGGCCAAAATCAGGACTAAACCAGGACTATACCAGGTCTAAACCAGGACTAAACTAGGGCAAAACCAGGACTAAACCAGATCTAAACCAAGACTAAAACAGGACTAAACAAGAACTAACCTAGGCCAAAACCAGATCTAAACCAAGACTAAACCAGACCTAAACCAAGACTAAAACAGGACTAAAACAGGGCAAAACAAGGACTAAACCAGAACTAAGCTAGACCAAAACCAGGATTAAACCAGAACTAAATTAGGGCAAAATCAGGACTAAACTAGGACAAAACCAAGACTAAACCAGGACTAAACCAGAACTAAGCTAGACCAAAGATAGGACTAAACCAAGACTAAAACAGATCTAAACCAGGAATAAACCAGACCTAAACCAAGACTAAACCAGAACTAAACTAGGGCAAAATCAGGACTAACCCAAGACTAAAACAGGACTAAACTAGGACAAAACAAGGACTAAACCAAGACTAAACCAGATCAAAACCAGGACTAAACCAGGACTAAACCAGGTCAAATCCTATCCTAACACGACCCTGTAACCGCACTTATTTAGAATCCTTGTATTTAGTCTACCATTCAAACCCTCTCTGACCCCAAACCAAGACTAAACCAGGTCCTAAACCAGCTCCTAAACCAGGTCTAAACCAAGTCTAAACCATTTCTAACCCTATCCTAACACGACCCTGTAATTGTGCTCATTTGGGATCCTTGTATTTAGTCTAGCATTTAAACGTGCCCCCTCCTTTCGCCCCAGACTCGGAGGCAGCAGACTGGGGCATGTTAACACAGTCTCTCTGGGTCTATAACATTATCTCATCACACGCTAATGCCACACAGACAGGAGCTGCGCGCATTACTATGCCCTGACTACTACTACTACTACCACTGCAGTACACGGGTATTTTTAACCGCACTGTCGCCACCATCGGATATAGAAGTAACTCGAGATATTACGAGGGAAAGATACCGCGCCAATCCAAACTATGTCAATAAATATACACACGAAAATAAATAAGTGCACTCACAACGCTGTAACTCGCGCTGGAAATAGTGGTGTCACGATATTAAAATTTCAAACTCCATTGCAATACCGAGGAATTGATCTGTTACTCGAGTTAAGACTTTAATCTGAGCTTTATTTTAACCCATAAAGGACTGACTTAGCTGGAAATGTAACCAACACACGAGCTGATTTGTGTCGTTAAACGAGTCTCTCACACATGAAATTACAGTTGCCAATAGCTTTTAGTTAGTCTCTCTCAAGTTTTTGTTGGAAATCAAACTACTAAACAGAACCATGAACGCTCGTATTGATCACAGACTCCTGAAAATGTGCGTAAATTATTGAGAACACATGTCCTTTTTATCCGGGACAGTCCCAGTTTTGAGCTCTGTGTCCCCTGTCCCAGCAGATTTATCCAAAACCAGTGATTTATTCCAGTTTTATACAAAAAAACATCCTCAGGTGTCCTTATTTTGACCAATCTGATACCAGCCAACAGTAAAGAGAGTCATTTGTTTAGGTAAAATACATAAAAGCTGCTTAAAAATGACCAAAACACAAAGAAAATATGACTATAATGACTCACATGGTAACAATTTTCCTTAATTATGTACTAATTTCTCAATTTTATTACAACTAGGGGTGTGACAATAAGTGAAATATCGTGATATCGTATCGTCAAAAGTCTCTCAGTAATATCGTGGACCATTACAATATATCGAATCACAAGTTTGTTTGCTTAAATTAAGAGTTACGGTGCAGCAACAGCTAAAAAAACAGAGGGAACTACATAGACCATGATCCTTTGCTCCATTTTGAAATAACAGTTCTAAGCACTTTTAAATGTTAGTTCTTTGGTCTGGTCAAGGCATTTTAAAAGGACAATGTAGCGTATTCGCAATTTTGTTAGACTCCACAAAATATCGCAATAAATACCATCCTGTGAGATATATATCGTAAAAATATCGTCACGTGAGATTTGGATATCGTTACATCCCTAATTGCTACCAGTCATTCCAAACTGGAATTGTCCCTGTTTTTGATTCTGAAAATCTGGTGACCTTAATTTAAATCCATTTTGTGTGTGTGTTTTTTTAAGTTTTGAGACAGTGTTAAAACGCTTTTGACATTGTGAGCATTGTGTCACCATGGTAACACTCCCTGCCTTATGTCACTGCAAAGTATCAATAGACTCGATACTCAAAACCGATTCACCATGATATTAACAGGGAATCCCCAGGTTGGACTACCCCAAATTTAAGACTTTTTTAAACCCTTTTGAAGACTTAAATGCAAATTAAGACCAACATTGGATCCATTATGTGTGCGAAAAACTCCAGTTCTAATAATGACCATTACTCACTGCTTTAAATAACAAAAAATACTTTTTAAGGCCTTAATTTAAGTACATGAAATTTGAGATTTTTTAAGACTTTTAAGACCCCGTGGCTACCCTAATTAAAAAAATGCACTTTCTTTAGGCAACAGAATGTGATTTTCAGCATTAAATGGTAGAACTTTCTTTTCTATTCCCATGTGGTTTTATATCTGTGTAATCCTGTGGTCCATGGACGTAAAATAGTCTATGTGCTCTTGTTCTTGTTCTCAGTGTTGGGAGTGTTACTTTTAAAATGTATTCCCCTACAGATTACAGATTACAGACCCCAAAATGTAGTTTGTAACGTAATCCATTAAATTACTTAAAGTGAGTAACGTAATCTGAATACTTTGGATTACTTGGACAGACATCTCCACATAAGATCTGCTAAAAGACAAGCTTAGTCCTGGTTTAGATCTGGTTTAGATCTGGTTTAGACCTGGTTTAGATCTGGTTTAGATCTGTTTTAGACCTGGTTTAGATCTGTTTTAGATCTGGTTTAGATCTGGTTTAGATCTGTTTTAGACCTGGTTTAGTCCAGGTTTAGACGTGATTTTGTCTTGGTTTAGCCCTAGTTTAGGCCTGGTTTTAGACCTGATTTAGACCTGGTTTTAGACCTGGTTTAGACCTGGTTTTAGACCTGATTTAGTGTCCGGCAATGAGTGGAATTACTGAAAAAAAAAAAAAAAGGATATAGCCCAAAATGTGAAAACAGGAAAATACCTCTGTGTAATCCAATAATTTATTTCAACAAAGTAACTGTAATCTAATTACCACTCACTTAAACAGTAACTGTAACTGAATACAGTTACTGTTACTGTTGTACTCTGATTACGTAACTCCAGTACATGTAATCTGTTACTCCCCAGCACTGCTTGTTCTGATACAGCTCAAGATCATTCTAAAACTATTCAGGAAAGCTTCATTTTAGTATCGATACCGGCTCAAATGAGAATCTAGTTTCCGATACTGGTTTCAGTATCGATTCTTATCTGATTTTCGATGCTTTTGACAACCCAAAGTGCAAGACGTGCTCAGTTTTAGTCTTGAGTCACCAGTTTGCAAAGTTATTGGAGACATGGAGGTAGCCAGCAGAAGTACCAACAGAATACCCAGGAAGTGTGCGATTAGCATGCTAGTTGTTGGCTCTGGTTTCTGAAAGTTGAGAAAAGCTCTTATAAACTCATCATGGTGAATAATTAGGATGTTCTGAATGCATAAGGTGAGTGAGGAAGAATTTTGGACCGCTGACTTTTTTGTTTTGTTTTTTGTTTTTTTTGTTAAAACAGTAAAAATATCGACACAGATTATGTTTTCACTCACGTCGGGGCTCGCGGGGTCCGTCCACGGTGATCTTGATGGCTCTCTGATACGTGGCGACTTGAGGAGGGTTGGTGAAAACTGTGATGGTCAACGTGAAGCTTTTACCTGTAGAGAAAAAAACAAACACATACATATAAGACTTTTTACAACTTTCACTTCTTTTATAAGCTAGAACTAAACCTGGACTAGACAAGGACTAAACCAGGACCTGAATAGAACCAACCCAAGACTATATCAGGACTAAATATGGCTCAAATCATTACCAGACCAAGACAAGTTTTATATTGGTTTATTTATTTTATTATTCATTTTTAAAACTTTCTTTATGTCTAAATTAAGCTTCTAAGTGATGGAAATTTTATAGCTTGACCTAGAAATGTTCCACAGTATGGCATTAAACTTATCTATCCTCACAAGAGACAAGAGGATGGCGCTACAAGTCCAAGATCCAGGTCAGATCTGTGGAAATTTGAACCCACTACAGTCAGAGTAAGAGGTTTTAGAGCAATAAAAACTGTATAATAACTGAATTAATGCCATACTGTGGGACATTCTACACAAGGGACTAACATCTCCATGGAGACGAGAAGCTGGCAGACCCCACATCAGAAAAACGAATACGAAAAGCAAAGCAAATCTAATAATAATGTAATAAAAATCTAATAATAATGTAATTTTTGTCTTTAAAATGTTGGAATTAAAAAGTGAAATTAATATATACACTGCAAAATTCTCTGATCTGGCGAAGATTTTAAAACTTATATCAGGTTTTTCATCTTGTTTTCAGATTTATTATCGACTAACTAGACCAGAAACTGCTTAATTCCAGTCTAAAAGTCGTTTATTTTAAGATAACTTGCTGCAGGGACAATAATTTCACTGCTTTTAAGTCATTTTCTGATAGATTTAAGTGTTTATATTTCACATTTTGGCCAAGCTTTTTCTTCTGCGTTGTTGCTGGGGTGACTGCCGTCCAAATCCTCTCCATTGTTTTTAATTTAGCCACCTCTGACTGACATTTCCTGGTCACATTTGATATTACGCTTTGCTTTTGCCAGCCAATCAGAAGCCGGCGTTTGAGTTGAGCCTTTGTTTGTCCACGAATAGCCGCGGCGAAATACCAGCGTTAATGCAAATGAGCCGCTCACTTATCACCAGATTAACTGACACTTTTATTTGATCGCACCAGCGGGGCCGACGGTGGCAAGACTACGCAACGGTTTCATGTCCTGTCACGCTGGCTTCTAGTGTATTACTGAAATGATCGCAGTATTTGTACTTATTGTAGTACACAGAAGTAAAGTGAAGGAGTAAAGATAGTATCCTTTTTTTTTGGTTAAATATGCCACTGTAAACAACTTTAATCATTTTAGTAAGAGAAGTAGTAGTAGCAGTAGAGGTGATATTAGTAATACTAGTTGTAGTAGTAATAGTAGTAGTAGTAGAATGAATGTAGTAGCTTGTAAAAGATAGAAGTAAGTAGGAGTAATAAAGGTGGAATTCATATATTTTTTGTTAAATATGCCACTGTATATTAAATACTGTTTTAAATACTGTATGTATTTAATCATTGTAGTAACAGAAGTAGTAATAGTAGTAGCAGCAGTAGAGGTGATATTAGTAGTAGTAGTAGTAGCGTAGTAGCAGTAGTTAGAAAGATTGTAGTAACTTTGTAGTACAAAGAAGTAAAGTATAGTAATGGCCTGGAATCCATCTATTAATGTTAAAATGTGCCACTATATAGGCCTCTAAGCAGCAACATAACAGTAGTAGTAGTAGTAGTAGTAGTAGTAGTAGTAGTAGTAGTAGTAGTAGTAGTAGTAGCAGCTGAAGTAACAGTAGTAGCCCTTGTATTTAATGTACACTTAGTAACATTTCTATTTGAAAGTCTGCCACTTGCTTGTATTCATAGAGAAGTTATTTGCTTTGTCTGAAATGTCCCACAGTACTGCATTAAACCGGCCATGTCTCCATGGAGACAAGCAGGTGATGAGGATGAGATCAGGACAAGTTACAAGTCAGATCTGTGGAGAAGAAATACAAACTTCTGGAATTGGAAAAACTGAAAATAACAGGTCAGACAAGTAGTAGTAGTAGTAGTAGTAGTAGTAGTAGTAGTAGTAGTCGTAGTAGTAGTAGTAGTAGTAGTAGTAGTAGTAGTAGTAGTAGTAGTAGTAGTAGTAGTAGTAGTAGTAGTAGTAGTAGTAGTAGTAGTAATAGTAGTAGTAGTAGTAGTAGTAGTAGTAGTAGTAGTAGTAGTAGTAGTAGTAGTAGTAGTAGTAGTAGTAGTAGTAGTAGTATAGTAGTAGTAGTAGTAGTAGTAGTAGTAGTAGTAGTAGTAGTAGTAGTAGTAGTAATAGTAGTAGTAGTAGTAGTAGTAGTAGTAGTAGTAGTAGTAGTAGTAGTAGTAGTAGTAGTAGTAGTATTAATAGTAGTAGTAGTAGTAGAAGCCTGTTGAATATTTGGACATTTAATTTGTACATATTACTTAAGTAGAAGAAGGTTGTAGTAGTTGTGGCAGTAGCAGTAGCAGTAGGCAGCTTGTGGTAGTAGTAAAAGTAGTAGTAGTAGTAATAGTAGTAATAGCAGTAGTAGTAGTAGTAGTAGCAACTCTACATTTAAGTAATTCTGTCTGTGATTTCTATTTTACAAAAGTATAGATATTGGCTCAGAACTTCCATAAAAAACTAGCCAATATTTATCTGTATTTAGGTCACAGATTACCTGCTTGTCTCCATGGAGATGTAGTTTCTTTGCCTGGAATGTTCCGCAGTACGGCATTAAACTTAACTTAAATCTATCTTGCATCATGTGTTTTTAATGCTCGAACTGACCTCACATCACGTGCATTCTTACTGTTAACGGGCTCGCCTCTCCACAGATCTGACCTGTAACTTGGCCTGGCAACGTTAACTACTTGTCTCCATGGAGATATATACGTTTAATGCCATACTGAGGAACATTCAAGGCAAAGCAATAACACACTGCAGCCAAATTAAGTTTTTTCATCATTAATCGTAGCTGTTTACAAAGTCGCTCCTTCCAGTGACAAAGATGCCCTCCCGTTGTTGATTTGATGGTGTTTTGTCTCTGGGGACTATCTGAGATCTAAACCCGGTCTAAACCCCTTTGGTGGTCCAGGTCTGGATCCTGTCCGGACTTGCGGCTGTACTGAATGTAGCTTTATTGCAACGGTTTGTGGACGAGGACAAAGACGGTGGAGACAGATCTGACAAAAGAAGAAATGAGGTGTACTTTTGAAAGAGGAACTGACACCACAGCACCTGTAAACAATGATATGATATTACTACTACTATTACTTCAAGTACTACCACTGCTACTACTACGAGCTGGATACTGCTGCTGGTACTGCTACAACTACTACAACTTTTACTACGATACTTAAGTAATATGTACTTGTAATATGTACAAATTAAATGTCCAAATATCCAATTGGCTACTACTACTACTACTACTACTACTACTACTACTACTACTACTACTACTACTAAGATCATCACCTTTATTACTGCTACTGCTACTACTACTACTGGTATTCTGTAGCCTTTGTAAACAAAAGTATTTGAGGTATTAGCCTTTTTAGACCACAGTATCTCTATATACTACTACTACTACTACAACTACTACTACTATAACTATTACTACTACTATCACCACCACCACTACTACTACTACAACTATTACTGGTATTCTTTATCCTTTGTAAACAAAAGTATTTGAGGTATTAGCCTGTTCAGATGTGAAAACAGTATCTCTATATATACTACTACTACTACTACTACTACTACTACTACTACTACTACTAAGATCATCACCTGTATTACTGCTACTGCTACTACTACTACTGGTATTCTGTAGCCTTTGTAAACAAAAGTATTTGAGGTATTAGTCTGTAAAGATGTGACTGCAGTATCTTAATATACAATATACTACTACTACTACTACTACTACTATCTTCACCATGATTACTGCTACTACTACTACTACTACTACTACTACTACTACTACTACTACTAAGATCATCACCTTTATTACTGCTACTGCTACTACTACTACTGGTATTCTGTATCCTTTGTAAACAAAAGTATTTGAGGTATTAGCCTGTTCAGATGTGACTGCAGTATCTTAATATACAATATACTACTACTACTACTACTACTACTACTATCATCACCATTATTACTACTACTACTACTACTACTACTACTACTTCTACTTCTTGTATTCTGGTATTCTGTATCCTTTGTAAATAAAAGTATTTGAGGTATTAGCCTTTTTAGATGTGACCACAGTATCTCTATATACTACTACTACTACTACAACTACTACTACTATAACTATTACTACTACTATCACCACCACCACTACTACTACTACAACTATTACTGGTATTCTTTATCCTTTGTAAACAAAAGTATTTGAGGTATTAGCCTGTTCAGATGTGAAAACAGTATCTCTATATACTACTACTACTACTACTACTACTACTACTAAGATCATCACCTTTATTACTACTACTGCTACTACTACTACTGGTATTCTGTAGCCTTTGTAAACAAAAATATTTGAGGTATTAGTCTGTAAAGATGTGACTGCAGTATCTTAATATACAATATACTACTACTACTACTACTACTACTATCATCACCATTACTACTACTACTACTACTACTACTACTACTTCTACTTCTTGTATTCTGGTATTCTGTATCCTTTGTAAATAAAAGTATTTGAGGTATTAGCCTTTTTAGATGTGACCACAGTATCTCTATATACTACTACTACTACTACAACTACTACTATAACTATTACTACTACTATCACCACCACCACTACTACTACTACAACTATTACTGGTATTCTGTATCCTTTGTAAACAAAAGTATTTGAGGTATTAGCCTGTTCAGATGTGAAAACAGTATCTCTATATACTACTACTACTACTACTACTACTACTACTACTACTACTACTACTACTACTACTACTACTAAGATCATCACCTTTATTACTGCTACTGCTACTACTACTACTGGTATTCTGTAGCCTTTGTAAACAAAAGTATTTGAGGTATTAGTCTGTAAAG